CAGCTTTTAAATAATTTTGTCAGTTCTTGTTAGACATGTAGAGACGTATTTCTGAAGTATTTCTCCGTTTGCCTTTCGTATTCATAACACAAACTTCTCTTTCCACACTACTTAAAAAAAATAGTCTACAACGACCAGAAAAGAATGCCTTTTATTACATAGTTTATTATTTTTTCGTACAGCAATCATTTATTCTTCTTCTTCATTCGGTCATTTACTAAATCCTCTTGTGATGTATAACTGAAACAGCCCCGTTAATCACTCGTAGCAAAGTCTACGATTCTACGGAGATTTCATGGGTATGTGGGTCTGGTCCTCATGTATATTCGGTGGATATTATAAAGTAAAAGCAGATGAAAAGAAAGGGGGCTCACTGGTTAAATGCGTCTGTCTGAAAGGCGCCAACAATCGTTAGGTTCGGTAATTTTTTAAGTTGTGTTTTACTCAGAAACGTGCTGGCGAGGAAGTTGCTGGAGATGAGCTCTAATAAAGGTATTTACACATCAAGCCGCGTTTCCTGATACACATGTATAATCTCCCTCCCTTACAGCTATTTTCTCTAATTATGTGAAAAAATCCACAGACTACGCCCCCATTCCTGCTTTTTTTAATAAACGAGCCCAACTGATTTTTTTTTTTTGGTCTGTGGTAGAGACTGTACACCTTAGCCGCAGTACAGTAGCGCCAACAGCAAAAAGTACAAGTTTTATCCCGCGGCGTTTCGCAAAACCGAAGTTAACCTAATACCGATAGGAAGAAAATTTCAATTTCGATACGTGGGAGATGGGAAACATTTCTGTACATAACCGAAACTTCGAGAGTATGGCATGCTGGAGAAGTGCAACATTTAATATTAATTTTATCCTTTTTATTGTTCCCTTGGAAACGAGCGAGATTCAGGACGTCTGTTTATCGGAACTCTTGAACACGCTTTCGGGATCTCGAACGAATCTTCGTTTCGTTTGCGGGTTCAGAAACGTATTTTACTTCTGTTTGCTGCAAATTAAAATATTATTTTGATTTCGGGCTTGGAATGGACGGATTTTTACAAGTCCATTTTTCCGTCAGTCTGATAAAACTTAACACCATTACTTTATGTCTTATTTCCGAAAACCTCTCTCGAACCACGTGTTACGATCGTATTTTCTGTTCTTTCTGACAGAAATAGCCAGACCTGCCCTGGAACCTTTTCAGTTTCAAAAACCATCTTGAAATAATATTTTTATTGCGCTATGAAGGGCCATTAAACGCATTTTAACAATAAAATAAACCAGTCTGTTGCGCTTTGATTCTTTCCATCGAGGGTTTGATAAGCGTATAATATAGCGTATATTTTCCCGTCACGCTCTGCTCCGGCCTGTTGGTCGGTAGGCCTTCGGGAAAAAAATCCGACGCGAAGAACAACAATTACAATAGTAATTACAATCAGAACGGCCCTTTATTATTTTAAGAAACTTCCTCCGACTCGTGATGTCGATTAGAGTTCCTGGGACCGCCGTGCTGAGGTTGGGGTTCAGTAATACTCGGGAGACAGGAAAGTACGCGGCGCCGGCCCAGTTTTGCCGCTTTGCGCTGTGCGGTCTGCGGCCGTTGTTTTGAAGTGTTAGCCCTAAGTGACCTTGTCGACGAGGAGTCCTGCGCAGACACCAGTTTCATCGCAGAGATGTTTCCTCGTCAAGCAGGACGACTTTTTCTGGTCAGGCAACCCAGTTGTGTCCAATAAAAGCGTGACATGACCAAATCCGTTGTTACTTAATGCTCTGTTTCTCATCTGTTGCATTTGGATCCTAATGTATTGAAATAAAATTGATAATAGGAGGGGAAATATGAACAATACAGGGCCATAAAACTCAAGGCACCTATAGGCAGGACAGGAACTAAACGATTACCCATTGGAACTAGGCAATAAACAGGCACATGTTGCTATAGCAACCCAGATACATAATTAGTACAGGAACCAAATAATTAGTCTCTATAGGAACCACAGTTAGCACAATTATATCAGCTCTCTTATCCTAGAAAATGACTTAGACTTATTATAAACAATATTTTTAGTTTGAGCATTCTAGCCTGTGTGGCCAAGGGTCTCATCCAGAGGGGAACTGTTACATTATTATAAGTCCTCAGAGCATTAAAAAACCAAGAACAGAAGGCAGTTCTTTACACAAAGGGGGGTGGGAGTCTGGAACGCGCTGCCCAGCCATGCAATTGAAGCCTAGACCCTGGCTTCGATCAGGACACAGCTGGATGAGATCCTCCGGTCAGGACAGCAGGCAGATCTTTACACAAAGAGGGGTGAGAGTGTGGTACGAGCTGCCCAGCCTTGTTGCTGAAGGTGAGACCCTGGCGTCTTTGAAGAAAAGGCTAGTGGAGACCTTTGGATCAGTCACCTGCTAGCTACCAAACAGGCGAGAATGGCTGCACCGTCCTCCTTCCTCGGGTTCGTGACCTGCCTTGTGCTCTAACGTTCCCGCCTGTCGCTCTCCAGCCGCGGCCGCGGGCAGCCTGCGGGTCCGCTCGGGCTCGGAGTCCAGCAGCGAGGAGGCGCTGGGGCCCGCGCTCTCCGGCGCCGCCCGGCTGGAGAGGAAGCATCGGCGCCAGCGGACCCACTTCACCAGCCAGCAACTGCAGGAGCTGGAGGCCACCTTCCAGCGGAACCGCTACCCGGACCTGAGCATCCGCGAGGAGATCGCCAGCTGGACCAACCTGACCGAGCCCCGCGTGCGGGTGAGCCACGGCCAGCCTGCCGCCGCAAGGAGCACAGAGCCATCTCGAATCGCGCGAGCCGCTTGCCCGAACGCGAGCCGTCAGCTCACCCGGGTGCCCCCCTTCCCCATCGGGAGACGCCATTGCAGCCTGAAAGGCCAGCGAGACGCCCGTGCTCTCGCAGGGCCACTCTTTCGGTCTTCAGTCCCCGGGGAAGGGAGTCCAGCAGGTCTGGCAGCTGTTCTGGGCAGCTGGTTGAGTTCAAACCAAGCACTCGATTTGATCTGTAATTCCAATTTAGAGATGGGACTAACGCCAAAGGACACCAGGGCTTTCAATGACTGGAGTTGCCCATCCCAGCTCATACATTTGAATGTCTATTGTTATTAACTTATCTGGCTGATGCTTTTATCCAAATTTACCGATTTATACATCAGGGGATTATACTGGAGAGATTTGAGTGACGAACATTGCTCAGGGCTACAACAACAGTGCCTCGCTCAGGTTTTGAGCCCACAGTCTTTAATTTTCCAAGACCAGAGTCCCTGTTCTCTCCTGCCCTAGGGGGAATAAACCCTTTGGATTTTAAATTGGCTGTCGTTAAGTGAAAGGCTACCCTACAAACTGTGGTTCCATACGGGACACATCACCACAGGGCACCAGTGAGTTTCTTGAACAGTATTGATAGATAAGACGGAAATTTCTATCATGCATATTAATATTGTTGCCAAGGACTGCACAGCTGCATGGCCGCAGACATGGTGTGTCAGAGGGAGAAGATTGCAGCTGACAGCTGCAGGAAAGCAGGTTGGCTGGGTAGTACAAGTACCTCTTCTCTCCCCACACAAAAAATTGTCCTGTTTCCTCCAGTACTTTAGTTCTCAAGACAACCCCAGAAAGACTCAACCTTCTGCATGACAGTCTGCGTCTGACCCTGCACGGTGTTAGGGCTGGCAGCCACACTTCAATGAGAGGGTTCCCAGTTCCTCGTTGGTGTCGGGGGGTCCTTTCTTCCTCCCGGTTGCTTCATGGTCTCGTCTTCTCTCCCTGTGTGTCTCTCCAGGTGTGGTTCAAGAACCGGCGAGCCAAATGGCGCAAGAAAGAGCGCCACATGCCCGCAGACATGTGCAAGCCAGGCCTGGGACCACCGCTAGGGGGGCTGCTCTCCCCGTATGAGGATGTGTACTCGGGGTACCCCTCTTATGGCAGCTGGGGACCCAAAGCACTGCCCCCCAAAGGGGGGTACCCTTTCTTCAGCCCTGTCGGCCACCTGAGCCCATCTCCGCAACCACCCCCCTCCCTCTCCGCAGTGCCACTGATGCCAGATTCCGTCCCGTCCAGTCTGGACCCCCTCAGCAGCCCCCCAGCTGTGTCCTCGCCCTCTTACTGCCCTTCCCAGCCCCACTTCCTCCTAAGGGAGACCTGCCTGTCTGACCCGCGGTTCCGATCCAAACAGCCTGGCTCAGCCTTTTCCTATGGGCCGATTCCCAGCCCCAGCCCGGGGCACTGCGAGTACCGTATGGACCGGCCTGTCTAACCCTGACCTGCTCCGGGAGGCCCAGAGATGAGAAACAGTGAAAACAAACATGTAGGCGCACATGAAGGAATTTGGATGACTTGCTGTATGTGCCACTAAATGAATGTAAAAATCACTTGTTTTGAGTCCAAAAACAAGATTCTGTCATACTTTTTTCCTTGAGTCCTGCAGGGACTGGTGCTGTGTACAAGCTGATGACAGCTCAGTTATTAGAAACAGTATGGCAGCTGAGAGGAACCTCTTTTTATATCTTTCCCGATTTCCCGGGATGTCATTCGGTTTAGATGGAGTATGTGCCACTATTCAGAGCACAGGGGGTCTCCGCCCTCCATTCTCACCATTCTAAGTGAGAAAATGTCTTGCTCTAGCTGTGTAGCTCAGTATTCCATCTCCACCTCTCTCTCTCTTTCTTCTCCACTCTCTCTGCTGACAAGCAGAGCATGGCTGCTACTGAAGGGCACACAGTTACCAGAGCCAGAGCTTCAGCAATCCCACAAAGTGTATAAACCAAGACTTGGCCCGTCTAGCTAGTTTGGCTGCAGGCAGCTAAGTGAACCAAGGATCTCATCCAGCTGTTTCCTGAAAGGCCGGGTAGCCCGTTCCAGACTCCCACCACGCTTTGTGTAACGTGACGAATATGAAGGAAGGCAGACTTCACACAGATCACACAGCCAGCGCTGTAGAGGTGAAACGTGCCCACCAGCAGAGCTCAGCTTTTCACTGTCCCACATTACATCCCAAATTAAGTAACTACGCAGTGAGTTCCTGCACTAGACTCTATAAGCCATACGGATAAGGTGATTTGCATTTGTAGCTTGTTTTTCATGGTCTGAACACTGTACATTAGTTAATGTCCACAGATCTGAGCAACAGGCTGGATTCATCTACAGCTCAACAGGGGTTGTGGTTGGACAGGTTCTACTTCAGCAAAGGAAAGACTGAAAAAGGGCCATCACTGCCTTAAAATGTCATCATAGACAGAAATCCCTACTTGGAAAGCATTCATACATTCATTTAGTATTAATGAATGGTTTTGGCGGCAAAAAAAGCCAACATCCTGCTGACATACTTATGGAGATCAATGCCAGCTCAACTCAGGACTGAAAGGTTTAAACAGGTTACCATGTCAGGAGTTCAACACGCAACTCAGTACTAATCCCAGCAGAAACTGGGTTGATTGAAGCACAATATTCTTCAATACTGAAGAGCTGCATGGTTTAATTATCTTGCTGTTAAGCTCTTTACTAGAGATTGTACCATTTTCTGAAGATAAAGCTAACTTAGAACATTTCAAGACCAAAGACTAACCAAAAAACACAGCAGTGTTTGGAATGTCTTTACATTGTTTTGTACGTTCAAGAAAACAAATGTGCCTGAAACAATTTCTAATTTTGGAATCTCAAGGGAATAAAGAAAAGTTGTTGTTTTTTTACCTCATCACCCATTAAAATACCCTGCATGCCTTCCTGTGAGTGCTCTGCCAGTTTGGCTGGGGGGGGTGCCCAGCTCTTCAGCGAGATGTGGTCTCAGTCACTCTGGGACTGGGGGCTGGGTGCCCACCCCCCAGAAAATAACAATGGATATCTGGAAACATTGTGTCCATGGTACAGGAAACAACAGCAATATTTTCTTCAACTGATCCATCCTCTCAATGAAAAGCTTTATTGAGTGCTTGCAATGCAGCTTCTACTGTATGTGTCTTAAGTAGAAAGTGACATTATTTATTAGTGTTATACTGTATATTTCTATTTTCTTTTATACTTTTATATTTAATGCTGGTCGGGGGCATTCTTCTTCTTGAACTTGATCAAGAGCCCCTGACGTGGAGAGGTTTGTAAGGGAAAAATATCAAACCGGCCAATGTCTTCGCTCAGAGGGTAAATAAATGCAGAGAATCGTCCAGGCAGGGCCAGTGGCTGAATGCACCATCCTGACTCATTCTGCTGAGGACTGTCTGTCCAGATTTTTGAATGTGCATCAAACTTACTTGGGCAGTATCCAAGGTGCTGTAAAAAATATATGTATTTGACTCTTGTTTCTTTGTTACCAAAAGACTGTGTTTTGATAAATTCCAATAAAACAGAACAAGTTAATATAAGTCTTTGTGAAATGACTGAAAAATGGAAAACGTGTGGGTTTTCTCCGGGAGCTCCGGTTTCCTTCCACAGTCCAAAGACATACTGGTAGCTTAGTTGTCTTCTGGGAAAACTGGCACTGGTGTGAGGGTGGGTCTGTGTCAGTGTCAGTGTTCATTCCAGGATGCATCCTGCCTGCTCCCCTAGGATACTGTAATAGATAAAGGGGCGAAAAAATGGAGGGGTGGATTATATGACCAACCCAAGGATCAAGATACCGCTACTTTTTGTGATTAAATATGTCTAAAACAACGTGGGGCTTAATGTTTTTTTTTTTTATTTCTAAGTGGAGGATTTCTAAGTTCACGTGTAAGAAAGATTCACTAGCCAAGCATCTCAAACTGCGGAACCCAGCGCGCGATGACCAAGTATCGCGGGGGCTCGCCGCGGCGGCGTGACGTCACGGAGTAGACAGCTGCTCCTGAGCCTGGTCGGCCGGTGTGTTTCAGCGTTAGCGCGTTTCTAGTAGTATCATATCAAGACCGGTTTTGTATTAAACATAAAAATTGAGACATTTAGTATACAGACAGAAAAAATATATGCAAGAATTGCTACATGTTCATACGAACTACATATATACATATATCAATACCCTATAGATGGGTTTCAGGCGTCATCTGTGCAGTGCACGAGCAATGACGGAGCCACTGTCCAGCGACGATGTGCGGACAAGAAGACGGGGTATATTTTAAAACAGGATGCCAGTGACTCTTGCGGTGAAGACGCTGCGATTCGCACGAAGCGGAAGGTAAGGTGCTTAGACATTGGAAGTCGTGTTGTTGTCGTTAATGCTGCATGGGTTACTATAATGTTGTTGTCGAAGGGGTAGTAGAAATTAGCGGTCTGTCTGAGGACTGGCATGCTGACGTTTTTATGGTCTGTTTATATGCTATCAGATCTTCTGTTTCATATAGCCAGCTGGTAATTTAAACATTCCTGTTTCAAAATTTAAAAGCGAGGGCATACCACATTTTCCTAACGAAAAATGAACGAAACCCTCAGAATAAGCTGGCCGTGTACAGTATTCACTGTCTGTTTTAATTTAGCAGTGCTGTTTTAAATGTTTTATGAGGTTGAGACTGAATATGCACAAGCTGAGATAAAGTAGCCCTGAGTACAGGTACTGTATGTCCAAACGAGAAGGCCAAATCAACACTCAGGTGTAGACCTATGCACTGTAGTGTAGTTACATAAGGACAATTTACCTAGCCCGGCTGATGTTTGTCTTTGTCATGCTCTGAAAAGCATTTGGTAAGGCATTTTTAGGCTATTTTTTTCTGTGTAGTAACTGTCAATTACTGTCGTTGTAGTTTGTTATCTGCCTTATTATTACTGTCCCTGATTGCTGACATATATTCTTGCAGGTCTCCCTCTCTCACTGGCTCGTGTGTCATTGCAGACCAGCTGTTATCATTGTAGACGCCAACCAATCGCAACACTCCTCAGGGGACGATGCACATCCCAGCAGCCAATCAAAGCCATGTGGACAGTCCGACCTGGCCCCGCCCACAGGGCCACAGCACCTGGCCTGCTCCTGTCAGCACGGACCGGACACCAGCGACCTACTGTCCAGTCGGAGGGCTGGAGAAAGTCTCTGCCCCTGCAGGATCAGGAGCCCCTCCCCGGTTACTTTTTACAGACTGTCCAGCCTCCTCAACCCCTCCCACCTTCCCCACTGGGCCAGGGTTAGAGGGGCCTCAGTCCTGGGGGAATCTTCCCAGTACTGACCTCCCACCACAGCTCGGCCTGCCTGCTGAGCCCAGTCTCCCCAACGGTGAGTGGACTGCAGCAGCCCGTGTCCTTCATCTGTCTGCTGCAGATCAGTCCTGTGAGGGTTGCCAAGTGACCCTAGGTCCGCGGTGTCCTTTGCCTCTACCTTAAAACACATCAGCATGTAAACGGGCTGCTAAATGCTTAATGACCTGTTGGCAGCATTATTGTAAGTGTGCATTATTGTTATATGAAAATAAACCGATGGTATCTTGAATATTTTGCAATTGCATGACGTGCATTTGAAGCTTAGGCATTTTTCCTGTTTTATATAGACTTTTCCTGAACACAACAGTAAAGCTGATCTGCTGTTCAGGCCAGGAAATGTTGGGTGACAAAAGAGAATAAACCAGTTGAGTGCTTCCACCTAGTGTACATCCGAATTGTGTTGTGGAATTTGAACTCTGTGCAATGGTGGCATGTATGAGCAGCGTCGTGGCGCAGTGGCTAACATTGCTGCCTTGCATCCCTGGGGATCTGGGTGCAGTTCCGGACATGGGGTGCTGTTTGATGGAGTTTGCATGTTCTCCCTGTGTTCAGGTGGGTATCCTCCCACAGTCCAAAGACGCACTGGTAGGTAAATTGGCTTCTGGGAAAACCGGCCCCGTGGTTTGTGTGTGTGTCTTTGTGTGTCCTGTGACGGAATGGTATCCGGAGTGTATCCTGCATTCTCTCCGTTAATTAGAGGGATAACCTCCGGTTCCCCGTGACCCTGTATTTGATAAAGCAGTAAGAAAACGGATGGATGGATGTCATGTCATTTACCAAATCGCTTTATACCATATGGTGTCGCAGGAAGCCGGAGCCTACCTGGCAAGCAACGAGCACAAGGCAGGGTACACCCTGGACAGGGGGCCAGTCCATCACAGGGCAAGTGCAAGTCAGTTGTACATGGGGACAATCTGGAGACCATGGTAAAGGCCGAGGGGGGGAATTTGGCCCGGACACCGGGATAACTCCCTACTCTTCTCGACAAATGCCAGGGGATCTTTAATGACCACTGAGAGTCAGGACCTCGCTTTAACGTCTCATGGATGGATGACATATAAGGTACAATATAATGTTGCCTCAGATTGGCTGATTGATCAAGGACAATTTGGCAACTCTGCTCCTCTTTGTCCTCTAAACCTCCTGGCTTTGCTCAAGAGAAAACTTGAGAAAACCTCAATCTAAAACTTTAGAATTGCTCGTCGGCCAGCCGTTTAGCTTCGTTTCTGTTTTCCAGGCATGTCTGACTCTTGCGAGCCGAGCCCCTTCCCATCCTGCCACACTGTCACTCAGCCACCACCAGGGGGCAGCAGCACAGAGCAGGTGAGGCACGATCAAGCAGAAGCGAAGCAGTTGGACAGTGCTGCTTACAATCATGTCCTGCAGAGAAAAGGGTGGTTTAAACATACAGTTTAAAATAATAAAAAATATTATAATAACAAAAAATAGCTTATAAATAAAAAAAACATTTTCGAGACTACAAAAATTCATCCAGGTGGGGGCTGCACACTGGTGGTGGAGGGGAGTCCCCATTAGCTGTGAAGCGCTTTGAGTGGAGTGTCCAGAAAAGTGCTATATATAGTGTAAGCAAGTATTATTATAACTGTTTTCATCTCATTGTGACAACCTAAAGAAATACTGGTAGGTTAATTTACTTCTGGGAAAACTGGCCGTGGTGTGAGTGTGTCTGTGTTTTGTGACTCTGTGTGTGGGATGAGCAGGTGTCTCCTGCCTTGTGCCCATTTTTTGCTGAGATAGACTCCAACTCCCCTGGAACCCTTTCCTAGCGAATTAGAAGATGGATGGATGATGAACTTAGTGAAGTAATGTACAGTAGAGGACTTTGGAACCGTGCATCTCCACTGCCATTTTCCACTCATTATCACTCTTCCTCTTTCCTTCTCTCTCTAACTCCTGTTCCCCATGTCTCTCGCTCCCCGTCTCCTGTCTCTCCCAGGCAAGCCGAGCTCAGAGCCCCAGGGCGCAGTCTCGCTACGGGCTGGACCCCCGGCTGATCCCCAGTGCGGTGAGTCCGTGGCCGCTCCCCATCCTACAGACACACTCAAGGGAGGCCCGGTCTTTGTAACAAGATTAAAGTCTTAAAAGCAGGCGGGGCTGATTGATGCTTTCTCCAACAACTCCCGGGTGGATGTTTTTCATTTACTTCCCTGTGAAGCTGTTGAACAAGATCGTTCCGTCCTTCCCGGCACGACGGATAGACAAGATTTCCAGTAAAGGAACAGGTAAAGGTTTATTCCAAGTTGAATGGAAAAGAAAAGAGATGCAACATTTTGGCTGTGGAGTCTTCTTAACCCTTCTTAACTGCCGGTTTCCCTCTCCCCCTCACTCCTGGAGAAGGCTTTACAGCAGAAACGCTGTGTCTCTTTTCGTTTCCTGTCAGCATGGAATAAACCCTTACCTGTTCCTCTGAAGCCTGTGCAAACTGACACAGCTTCCTGCCTGGATTTCCAGTATGCCCCTTTAATACAGTGAAAAATAATTTGTCCGCCTCCTGAGTCGCCCTGACCTCCAGTCTTAGCTGCTGTTGAATAGGTCGGAACAGGATGAGAAGGAAGATGTCTTGGGATGCGAGGGACGAGGGCCGATGTTAGCTGTCCCCTAAATCTCTCTCTCTCTCTCTGCCTCCAGGTGAAGGTGATAGAAGACGACCGAGATGAGTGGGCAGGGCAGGTGTTTGTCTCGGACACCAGCAGGCAGCTCCCACCCCTCTCCAGCACTGAGTGCACCGTGGAGGACAGAGGTGCGATGAGTCCCCAATGTCTCCCTGTTTCCTCTCCCTAGCTGTGCCTCTGTCCCCTCCCGTTCTCCTCCCTTTCAGCCTTTCTCTCCCTCTGCCCTCTGATTTAAGCCCCCCAGAGTAATGTCCCGGCTTCCTGCACACTCTCTCCCCTTCCCTTCCTCCCCTGCCAGACGTAGGACGTTCAGCTGGAACTTGTCAGCTTGCTGAAAAATCTTTCTCACCCTCGCTCTGTCTCTCTCCAGGTAACGCCAGTCCGCGCTTCATCCGCTGTACCTCCTACTCCTTTCCCTGTGATGGAGGGGCTGCCCAACGTTGTCACCTGCCCCTGGGGGCAGTCGTTACCCCCCTCGCGAGGCTGGGGCCCGGAGAGGTCAGAGAGCACAATGTCTGTCCGTACAGCCTTGTCGTTGGAGTTTCTGTTGTCCTCATACGCCTGCGTGCCAGTGCTTTGCTCTCTCGTGTTTCCCTCTGCTGACTGTGTGTTTCTCCACAGCGCCCCCTGCCTGTGCTGATGCGTGGTGCAGAGCCTGGCTGCGTGCTGAGCTGTGGGGGGTGTGGATCCTCCATGTGTCCCTTCATGACCTGGCAGGACAGCGGGCAGAGATTCCACTGCCCCTTCTGTGGGCACATCACTGAGGGTCAGCACACACATGATGTTGTTACTGGTATTACCGTTCTTATTGTGACACAAGATATGTCACATTTTATACATGCCTGTCTTTAACCAAGTTTTGATTGTACTGATTACATTTCTCATTTGTCAGTTGTTGCCCTCTTCTCTTTTGGCATCTTTCGTCTTCTCTTTTGAAATGTATCAAAACCACTTCCCCTCATTACCTCCTCTCTTACTTTATTGTCCCAGATGGGAAATGTCCTTTGCTGGCAGGTACAGATATAACACAGTACACACTACTTTTAACACGTGAACCAGTTAACAGATAAGAGGCATACATGTATGACAAGAAAAATAATAAATAAATACATGTAAATGAAGTTAGATACACAGTCAGTTGTCCCAATTGAGCAGGTTCATAGCTGAGGGAATAAAAGAATAAAAGTTAGTTCTCTCGCTCCTGAATCAGTCTAATAGATGTGTGGATGGATCACGACAGTGAGTGATCATATTGGCCTGCTGCGCTATTTGTTTGACGAAAACGTCCGAAAGCTCTACCTGCTGTGCACCAGTCATTTTGCTGGCTACCTTCACAGTCCTGCTCAGTCTGTTTCTATTGCGTGTATTAAGCTTCCCAAACCAGGCGTCTGCAGTGAATGTTAGGACAGATTCAATGAGAGTTATATAGAATAAAGTCATTGTTGTAGCTCATGCGTTAAGAGAGCGAAGTTTTCTTAGGAAGAACAATTGCTGTTGGCTTTGTAATCAGCAACAGTGCTACGATATTTGTAGCTGCTGACAGTTTCAATGTCTTGCTCCTCTTCCTCCTCCTCGCTCCCTTTCAGTGCCCTGGCAGAATTACCAGCCCACAGACAGGGGGAGTCCCAGGGTGGATTCAGAGCTGCACCCTGAGCTGTGCCGAGGCTCTTATGAAATTCTGGAGACGCACACGCAGGTAGGCTTCATGCAGCACACACCAGTGAGCTGAAGGCTGAGCCACATGAGAGGGAGGTAGGAGGCTCTGACCTGAGCCTCACCCTGCAGTCATCCACCCACTACTAGAGAGCCACCGGCAGAACGTAGGTCCTGTCTAAGGAGCATGGTGTGATAGGTGGGACTACACTCCGAGGGGCCACAGTTAACCTAGCCAGCAAATCTTAGCAAGGTCAGTGAAAACCCTACCTAACCAAACCCAACCAAACCTAGGGAGAGCATACAAACTCCACACAGAAGGTGCCCCAGTCCAGAATGGAACCCAGAACTCGAGGGTTTTGAGCCAGCAGCACTAATCACCCCGCCACAGTCTTGCCAGTGCTAATCCACACTATCTAAAACACATGGGACCGTGTTTAACCAATCAGTATGGGTGTTTACTCCTCCAGTGTTAAAGGGCCTGAATCAAGCAGGTGTGATAAGTCGGTTTCAGTCAGCCACAGAAAAAGAGCCATATAAAAGTAAGCTAATGATTAGTTCAGGTGGGTAGCTGCGTCAGCATGCTTAAGCTGCAAAGGAACAAGTAATAGATTCCTAGAACCTATTACGCAACTCTTCGGCTGTGGAGCCTTCTTTGTGTGTCCACAGCTGAAATGTTGTGTTTTCTTTCTTCTCTTTTCAGCATGGAATAAAATAATAATTAGTTCACTTCTGTCATTAGGAACAGATGTGGACTAGAACTCCACAGACGTGTTGGCCCTCCAGGTCACATGGGTGCTGCCCAGCAATGAATGACTTCTCTCTGTCTGCAGAGGGAGTGTCTTGGTCTGCTGTTGGCTGTGGATGTGTCTGGTCAGGCAGTGAGGGGGGGGCAACTGGCTCTTGTCTGCCATCAGCTCCGCGCTCTCCTTGCCTCTCTGAGCAGGTGAGGTAACACAAACAAGCACAGGCACCGACACTTCCACTTTGGAGCCATTTTGGAAAAAAAAAATCTTTTTTGATGTTTTGAAGGGATTATACCGGCTTGGGCAAGTCGGCTCTGAGAGTGGGAGTGGTCACTTACGACAGAAGTCTCCACCTTTACAACCTTAGCCCCGCCCTCTCCCGCCCCCACATGCTGGTTGTCACGGAAACAGAAGATCTGGAACTACCTGTGTGGGAGGGGCTACTGGTCTCACTGGAAGACGGCAGAGACGCCATTGACTGGTAACAAAAGAATATTGATGAGAGTTAGGGATGGGCACATAACTACAGTTTTACACATGCTATTCAAACAGTAAGTGATTAAGACTTAAAAAAACAGGTGAAGTCTTAACCAGTAATTAGTACAATGAGGCAATTGAAAATGGAATGAGACCCAGAGGCCGCTTCACTTGAGAACTACGGAGACTACAGACTCTGTCCCTGCCCCTGCCCCCGGAGGGTGTCTGCAGCAGGCAGTGTGAATAGCCCCTGAGGGAGGGCTATTTATTTCCAGGCTTATGGGATTTCCTAGTGTTAATGTCTTTAAAAACGTCACCACAGGGTGAAAAGTGTTGTATAAAGTTTTTCTTCAAATTTGTTTTTAACTACTCCTAATTACTTTCACAGTCTTACCCAAGGATGGGGACTTTCCCCATTTAAAGAGCTAAGTTTACTTTTTCCTGTGGTGATCCTAAAATTGATGCTGCCCTGAATGTTCTGATTTAGTTGCAGTGAGAGAGACATGACGTGTAGCCTTTGAAAGACTTATTATAACTTATTAACTCTTCACCTATTATTATATTTAATGTATGTATCATGGGTGTCTTTCTGGTATGTAGAGCTGAATAACATTTCAGAGGCACACTTTGGATAAACAGATTAGAATAAAGAAGATAAACCTCTTGCACTAAAATACCAGAGCTTTCGATTGTAATCAAGAGCAAATACTTACAGTAGATACCATTAACAACGGGATTTTGTGTCATTTTTCTTCTGGAACAAGTAATAGGTTTATTCCATGCTGAAAAAAAGAAGAGAGAAAACACAACGTTTCGGTCATGGAGCCTTCTTCAGGTGTGAGCTCACACCTGAAGAAGGCTCCACGGCCGAAATGTTGTGTTTTCTCTCTTCTGTTTTTCAGCATGGAATAAACCTATTACTTGTTCCTTTGCAGCCTACGCATGCTGACGCAGCTACCCACCTGAACTATGATTTTTCTTCTGCTACTAAACGTTTTTCTTTCTGTCTGAGCCCCCTCAGTCTGCTCTGCAGTGAGTCTTACTGTTGTGTGTGTGCGTGTGCAGTGTTCTGGAGCAGATCCCCAGACTGTTTGTGGACGCAGAGGACACCCCTGTATCACAGGACCTGCCTCTGCGCTCTGCCCTGAAGATCTTTAAGGTCAGTTACTGGGTGCTGCCAGCATGCATGGAGAAAATGCACACAGTCTGGCTGTCACATGCAGCCATTTTCAATTCCTCTCCATCTTTATGCACTCCAGGCAGCTGGTTGTCCAGGAAAAGTGCTGGTCTTCCACACAGCTCCCCCTAGTGACGGGAAGGTGAACTGCAGCAGTGGCCCCTCTGGATTCTTTAGCTCCAGCAAAACGAAGGTGATCCAGCTCTCAGTGTGTATGGAAAGTCTGCATGTGCTTCCACGTGTGAGTTTGCGTATGAAACCAGCTTTGCATCTGTGCAACGAGACAGAAGTGGAAATGGAACTGTTTGTGATCGGATGATGCATCCCCTGCTCTTCTGACATGTTTCCCTCCTCTTGCCGACAGTCCCTGTTCCAGCCCCCAGAATCCTGCGGCTCATTGGCTCGGGAGTGTGTGGCTCAGGGCTGCAGTCTACACCTCTTCCTGTTCTCCCAGCAGGCTGTGGGAGGGACCTGGGCAGGACACGCTCCCTCCCTGACTGGGGGCAGGGTCTACAACTATGAATGCTTTCAGGTTAGTTTCTGATGGGCTGTAGCAGAGGAAAAGCAGGGCTCGACAGCAGAACTGACATAAATAAAGATTCCCCATCTCTGTCTCTCCGTGTCTGCTTCCCTCTTTCTCTCGCTCAGGGAGAGGCCGACGTGGAGCGGTTCGGCAGTGATTTGAGGAGGTGTGTGGAGGCAGAAACAGGCTACAGGGCTGAGCTCAGGGTCTCTGTAAGCAAAGGTATAGGATCCTCAAGGAGCTGTAGTAGGACAGTTATGCGTGTTTGTTACAATAAATGATCCCACCCTGTTGTTGCAGGTCTGCGGGTGTCTGGATGCTTTGGGGCATTCTCCCCGGGCCCTGATCCAGCTGTCATCTCCCTGGCGGCTATTGATTGGCACACCGCTGTGGCAGTTCAGTTTATGCATCACAGCCCATTGGACGAGCACAGGGGCGTGGCCATGCAGGTGAGCACGGATTGGCTGTTTCCTGCTGGTTGTGGTCCCAGTTGCTTTTCTGAGTAAGGGTGCTTGAGACAAATACTTACTGAGTGCAAACATGTGGAGCTAAGTGACAATGACAGTGCATGACAGTTTTTTTTTTAAATGTCCCTCTCTGTTTCTGGTTCCAAGTCTCTGTGTCTGACTACTTGACAGAATTAGATATTAGTGGGCTTGATACAAGGATTCTGATTAAAAAAAAAAAAACAGTGACACATGTACTAGAGGGCACAAGTAGATGTTACTTTAAGGTGTATTTAAAACTTGAGGCACGTCTTTATCCAAAGGCTTGTAGGAGTGTGGAACAAGTTACCTAGCCTTGTGGTTGTGGTTTCTTTCAAGAAAAGGCTGGATAAATTAACTACTGTCTACTAAATAGGCTGGATGGGCTGAACGTCCACCTTGTTTCTACTATTGTAATGTTCTTCAAATCTTTTGACAGATGTGCTTGTCCTACACTTCTCCCAGGGAGAGAGGAGGACCAGGGTCCACAGCCTGGGCCTGCGCTGCTCCCGCCACCTAGTGGACACATTCCGCAACAGCCAGGCCGAGACACTGCTGAGCTTCTACTGCAAGAGAGGTGCAGTCTGGTTTCTCAGTCTCCCTTTCTGTATTGGTCATTTGTGTTTCTCTTTTCTGCCATTTTGACATGTTTTTCTTTCTCTTCGATTTTATTCCTTGAATATTTTTCCCCCTAGATGTTCTCATTGCAGTCATTTGACCCCTTTACTGTTGCTTTAATGCAGCTCTGATCAGTGTGCCTGTGTACTGCATGTCTAAGAGTACTCTCCTAGGCTGATCTGTGTATCTGTCCGCAAGCTTACTGCGCCGTGCTGGACAGGCCTCTCCAGGCTGTGAGAGACGAACTGGTCACTGAGCTTACAGAGGCCCTGGCCTGCTACCGGCAGCACTGCTCCTCCACTGCACTCACACATGGACAGGTGGGAGAGGGGGGCACGGCCAGAGAGACAGAGCAACTGCTTGCATATAGTGTGCGTCTTAATGCTGTGCACCTATTCATCCTGTCCTTTCGTGTGTGTGTGTTAGCTGGTGCTGCCCCAGTGTCTGAAGGCCCTCCCAGTCTATGTGAACAGTCTGCGCAAGAGTGAGGTCTTGTTGCCCGGACAGCGCAGCTCCGTGCCACAACGACTGCAGCTGCGTGGCCAACTGGTCGCCATGGACCCGGCCCACACTGCCGCTTACTTCTATCCTGAGCTCCTCCCACTGGTGAGACTTGCCACACCGGGGGCCACCTGCAAATGAAGGCGTGGGCCCTCTGTGTGGAGCGTGCATGGTCTCTCCTTGGCCATGAGGGTTTCCTCCCTCGATACAAAGACACAGTATGGCTAAATTGTTCCCCGTGTGTGTGCCTCCAATGGACTGACGGTTATGGACAATGGATGGTACTTCTTTGAAAGAATTCCAGAAAACTGGACCAATGTGCATCTACATCCAGAACCACTTCCTTCTTTCATCTCAGGGTTCGGACACCACTGGTGAATTCTGTACACCTGCATGAAGCTGCAAAAACCTGGTCATAAGTTCTAATAGCAACCAAGACAGCAGGAAAGGGTGTCTAATCCTGCAATTTTGCATTCCTACTTGGCCATTAGGTGCCCATTTCTACTAATTACTGGCTTAATTGGGCCAATTTAACAGAAATTCGTATGGTGCTAGTGACTTGGGGAGACTGCAGCTGTCACGTACCAGGACAGAACACCCCTGCAGCAGGTCCTCTTGACCGACGACTGGTGTCTGTCTGCATCCGTCTCTCCCTGTGCCCCACTCACTCTGAAACAGCGATTCTCTCCCTGTGCCCAGCCCCTGTGTGAGCAGTCTGTTGGCGATGGTGCCCCTGCAGCAGCAGTGCGTTGCTCAGGGAGCAGTCTGGACTCACGGGGGCTGTACCTGGCCCACAGCTCCCTGGCCCTGCTGCTCTGGGTGGGGGAGCACGTCCCGCTGTCTGTCCTCTCCCAACTCTTCAACGCCAGCTCCTTCAGCCAGCTGCCCTGCGGAGAGGTCAGGAGCCGACACCGCCGCCCGCTTTAAAGAAACATTTCCTCGATTTGGAATTTGTAGTGAAACCCGGTCTTGTCTCTTCTGCAGTGCCGCCTGCCCACCCTGGACAACCCCTTGTCCCTGCGCGTGAGGGCAGTAATCCAAACCCTGAGGTCATGCACAGCCTTCACCCTAAAGGTGGGTGCCACGATGGTACTCTCAATGCCACATCCTTGATTACACCTACACTGGCATCATCCGTGTATCTACCGACACACGCAAACCAAATGATGGCAAGACATCTTGTTTGCCACCAGTCAAATAAGCAGTGTTTTTGCTACCAGGCCTGTTTGTGTGTCCAGCTGCAGGTGGTGAAGCAGGGAGACCACAGTGAGGAGGCTCTCCGGCACCTGCTGGTGGAGGACAAGAGCCCCAACGGCGGGGCGTCGTACCCCGACTTCCTGTATCACGTGCACATCAACTCCTTGCAGCTGCTGGCGTGAACGGCAGCCGTCTCTTCCTCTTCCTCTTCCCCTTCCATTTTGCAGTTCAGAAGAAATCAAACAGCCAACTTGCAGTCCAACCCAGTGCATGATTTGGCACAAGCTCCTTATTTCTTTGTTCATCTATTGATAATTTTAAGGAGGGGGTTGCACCGGAGAGCTGCACTGGAATGGATGTAAGGCTCATTTTACCAGCACAGCTGTGCTTTCTCTTACTAAATGTCCTGTCCAAACATTCCCCATTGTTCATCCCCTAAACCAGGGCTCTAAAATTAAGCTGGTGGTGATTGGGGGGGAGGGGGCAGTGTCTCTTTTGTTCTGAGCTCTCCTTTTCATTATTTGGGAAATTGTAATACTTTTATCTAGGCCCAGCAACATCTAGGTCCTGCAACTGGAATGAAGGGTTTGGGAACCAACTGGAACTGGAAACATCTAGGCCCTGCAAGTGGAATATGTGTTTTGTCAAATCTGAGGAAATAACCCTATTAAAGGAGAACTCATGATGAGTAAGAAATGACACGGGCAGGCAGAAAAGCCTCCCAGTTTGAGTCTGAGACCCCTCCCCTCTCTCCTCCTGTCTGCCCCACCACATCTCGCTCTGTTTTTGGAGCAATTACCCCTCACTGGGTTTTTCATTTCTTCTCTGAAAATAAAAAGCTTTCTGGGAACAGACACTGCCGTGTGTCGTCATTGCGTGACAGAAAAATGACAAAAACAAGAAGTGGTGTTTTTTAGAATCCAAACACCGGTCTGTTTAGCTACATGTTCATCCACAGAGGCTGTTCATATGCTAAGCATGTTGCAGATACTCCAAATGTAATTAAAACAATGCACAATATCTGTGCATCTCAAGAATTTTACAGTCCACATTTCAGTTTCTCACTCCCCTATAGAGTGTTCTGTACACTCAGTCGGCCCTGCACACATATGGATACCACTTCAGCACACGCTGACCTCCGATTTCTTACAAACCATTTTAAACTGAGTACACTAATAAGGCTAATGCAGAATATATTTCTTTCAGCTATTTTCATTATATACACAAATGTGTTTATGTAAAGTATATGCATGGTTTCAACTAATACATTCCTCTTGATGCACATGTGGAGAGCTTCTTTTTTTTTCCCCCCCAATGAAGGTAGGCTGCCTCCTGTCCTTGCTCACTGTTTAAACGCTTGAGGCATACTAAGTACAGGTCATGAGGCAGACAACAGAGCTCTGAGACGTTTATAACTGGCTTCCCTGTTCAGAGGTATTTATACACAGCCTTTTGCTGGAGGGTCTGCACCTCCATCTTGACAGGGCACTTACAAAAATGGGAGAGCAGTGTCTCTGTGTAGCCAATCAGGAAATAGAACTTGTGAGGTGGGAGCTTCTGCAGCAGCAGGGCGCAGATCACTAGCAGGTTGCCGCGGCGCTTGATGATGAGCTCATTCGCCAGGCAGCCGTGGAAAGTTCCAGAGATGAAGCGCCGCACGAAGACGTCCTCAATGGAGCGCTCAGCGGCGCCCCCTACCCCATCCAGGTTACCTGGGGAACAACAATGAGCGCTTTAACTTGACCATAGGAGTGGGACAGCAATGGGACATTGTGGAGAATGACAGCTAAAAAATATAAAATATAAAAAATGAGGAGACGATGAATAAATGTCAAAAAGAAAACTTGGCTCCAAACAAAGATGGCTGAATTATGCAATGGGCAAGTCTGAGTATGGATCTGCAAACCCAGTGGAAACACTCACTGGTGTGCTGGGACAGCCAGCCCTTGCGGTGGGCAATATAGTGAGGGGCCAGGGCCTGCTCGTACGTCACCGGATTGTCACCCTTCCCAACTCGCACTCGTGCTGCACGATTCTGGAAACAGGCAGAGGAGAAATCAGGAGATGAGAAATACCATAAGACAGCTTTCAGTTAATGCTGAACTCCCTCTCTGAAAACAGGACTTTACACATGAGCTAAAAAACACCCCTGCTGCCATATCTGCCTGCTGACCACTAGGGTGCAGCCTTACTCCGTTGTACATTGAGAGAGAGAAGTTTAATCAGGTTAATTTTTTGTTTATCTCAAGCACGGTTAAATGAAAGCCATTTGAGGTCATCTAGAATCACACTAACATTACTCTGCACTGACCATGTCGATGTAACCAAATCTAGAGGACTTAACACCAAGGCATATTGTAAAATTTGCCACCTGTGGCTATTATACACTTTTACTAGCCAAATTAATCTTCTCATTATATGACAAAGATACAAACAGTTCAGCGAATCTAGCACATTTTTGAACAAATATTATTGCTATTCCAACTGGTGTAAGTTTTAATACATGATTGCTTTAACGTTTATTAGTACAATTAGTACTGTGGCTACAGTTACTAGTAATAAATTCAATGGGACTACTGGAACCTCTTACCTTGAAGCACACTGCAGTGGTCTGAATTGCTCGTGTTCCGGGAACACATCGAACTGCACTGTTGGCCTGGGCCAGTGGGATCTGTGGGGGCAGAGAGAGAGAAAAAGAGGACACACTGCCTATCAGCCAATGAAGAGGGAAGTGAAAATGACTGTCTGTTTCACACTCCCAGGAGATACTTTTGTATTATAGGTAACACTTTACAACGAGTCTCTGTCTATATTTAATTCATGATTAACGGGAAGTCAAATAAATTACTGAGGTGTACACTGAGCCAAGTCTTTGTATATCGACTGCTTGGCAAATTATGTATTGCTTCTTACATTGTCACATTAAAATGTTTCTTGTAAAGTTACTCAATTATCAGGGACTGGTACTGAAGCACGATCAGCGATAAAGATTAATGTGCAACCAATATGTTTGGTTCCCAGTGACAAAAAGTCCTGCCAGTGTAAAATATGTTTAAAGGGATTTATGTAAAAATGCCTACAAACTACTGTCTGCCATAAATGACCAATTACCACAGAACACTACTATTTAGAACTACAGAACTACCATCTTCTACGTAGTGTGTTTACTTAATGCTATTGCCTTTATACTGAATTAAAGGTTTATTTTCAAGAAGCGAAATATGTCATCGAGACTTTTGCCATCTGCAGTGTATTACCACAAGATAAAAACGTTTAATCTAAAGCTTTTTTCCACTCAATAATTGTAAAACACTCCTGTCAAATGTGATGGATTATATATCGTCCATCATGCTGTACAACGCAAATACAAATCCCTCAATTACAGTTACACAGATTTTAATTTAGAAAGCCTGGACTATTTTATTGATTAAATCATTTGCAAATCCTTTCAGAATCTGCCCAATTAAACGTGTCATTCAGTGTACACAAGCAATAACACAGTTTACAAGATCCAGCAGTAGATATCACCTAATATCTGAAAAGCCAACATATTTCCTCATTATATTACACGTAATTGTTTTTCGTTTAGGGTTCTGTACCACTGTTTTAATTAATTAACTAGATCTACACGACTACTTGAAAGATTTCTAAAGGCTTTCTTACCAACAGCTTCACAGATCGACTACAGAAGGACGTCGCCATCTTGAAACACGCACTGATTTCTGGGAGCAAAGTGGCTATAAAAAAAGAAATATTTTATCTCTATAATTTGCTGTAAATATAATATATGTATTCAGATACAATAATAATCAAATGCATAAATACATTTTATACTGTTTCTTTTTATTAATTACCAAGCATAATTTCCATATTTACTTTTTATTGTACGAGTGGTGTTCTGATTAAATGAGTCCGTGGAGTTGTTTCCATACAGACCTAGAATGTTCTTTTCCGAGGCAATAATTTATTCTGACAGTATTTTAGACATGTTTAATTATTGTTAAAGGATACATTATAAATTAATTATAATTTAAAAATCTAACTTAATTTCTTCATAAATGTGAATGTAATAGTTAAGCATACGAAAGTGTTAAGTTTCAGTTATGTTCATTTGTAACTTAAAATTACGTTAGAGACGCCTTTAAGTATTTCTCGGTGATGAATTTTTGAATGTTACAATGCCTTCATTCTTTTTTAAAAAAGTGCTGACATTTTTTTGTTGGCTGAGCGTAAAATTATAAGAGGCAATCGGGCAGGGCAACTTCGTTGTTTTGCGTTTCCACACGGACTGTAAAACACGAGTCAACAAGAAGCAGGCGAAACCGTAAACCGTAAAGACAGAGCAGTGCGTCAGAAGGGATATTTTGAAAATATCGTAGTAAACACCTACCATAAGTGTGCAGTACAAGTGCTTTTTATTTGCGTCGTGTGTGTTACTTCGGTTGTTTAAACAATGTCTTCCCAACTGGAGATGACTGAGCTGTACGACAATGCTCTGCTGGGGATACTGCAGCACGTCGGAAACATACAGAATTTTCTACAGGTTTATTTCGGGTTTCTCTATCGAAAGACAGATTTCTACAGGCTGTTAACGAGCCCCAGCGATCGCATGGGTTTTCCTCCTGGGGTCGCCGAGAAAATGGTGCTTAAGGTAAGGTGAAAGTAAATTTTTAAAAACGATACAAATAAAAAGTGTTGTTAAACTATGGGATAAGTGCATAAAATAGGAGCGACTTCTCTGGAGCTTTCGGTGTTCCATCAAAAAGACTTATTGTAGTTATGTATGAGAGCACCACTGTGCGCAGATTTTGGAAAGAAACTTACCTGGTGTGTTTCATTGTTTATGTTCTAAGATTATCTCGGTGTGCAGCTGGCATTCACCAATTTAACTGTAAAGTCGCTCTAGTCTGTGTTGTTTGAAAGTACAGTTACCTAGTGTAGGATTTCAGACAACAGTTTCTTAAGAGTTTACATTTTTTAATTGCCTTTTGCTTTGTCTATTTGTTAACCCGGGAAATTCGCCTTTTGGTGGTTTTAAGCGGTTTAATCCATTTCTCGAAAGGCTTGGAAGAAAACGACGGTGATTTGGGACAGTCTGTGAGACGCATAATTTCGTGTTTTAATTAACTAAAATGATACAAATGTATCTGGAAATCTTTCAATAAAATATGTTTCGGTTAACTTTTGTTTATGTTAACACTATATGGCATTTAGAGAGTTTTTTTTATATTGTCGTCGTTTAAAAGCAGTTTTGTCCCTACAAGCGTATTCTTATATACATTCATAACCATTGTGTTTTGTTTTAATGCCCTATAGAGGTACATTTATAGCTCCTGGTACAGGGTCCAAATGGCTCAATTTCTAACATCCACAGAAACAGAGCGCATGATGGAAGCTCCTAATGCCCACGAGTTGTCTACCTGGTGGTATTCTGCAGCGTTTCTCCCAGATAAAATAGAATCTCAATAAAATTCTGGTTTAATAATCTAATTCCAACAAATCAAAACGTGTGCTGTGCTACAGCCCTCTATTTATTTGTCTTTTATGTGGAGCAGAAAACACAAGATAGTTAAAAAATGCATTTGCTGTTGTACTTGGGCCCAATTTAGTCATTAAATGCTATCTCCACCAACAGTCACTGGCAATGCAAAATATATAGTTGACATAACAATTTGCGTTACCTGTATGTTTAAGTAGTTGTCTGTCAGACTTGTTTTCACATTGTTAATCAATACCACCACATATCTGCCAGTGATCGCCCCCCCCTGCAATTCTGCTTGCAGGTATGGAGTTTGCCCCTTGAAATGTAAAGTGAAATATAAGAGTGTGCTTGAGGGGAAAGAGGTGATGAAGACATCTGGTTAACCAAGCATGCCTCTGAAAATCCTTTTTGGAGATTTCCAGATTTGTTATAGTTTGTGTTTAGGGCCATCTGACACAGCAAAAGGTAGTGATGAACACTTTTGTGATAGGGATGTGTACTTAGATGATTCTCTGTATTACATCAGCAAGATACCAGTAAGAAATGAGATCTTACTGCAACATTAATCTCAAATCCAAATATTTTCCTTTGTGTTGCCTCCCCAAATACCTGAAGTGTCTCAGCATTCCTCTCTTCTCTGTCATTTCTCTGCCCAGACATTCAAGGTGTTTGAGCGCCTGGCAGCGCAGGACAGAGAGCAGAGCTTGCAGGAGGCAGAGAACAAGGGAAGGAAAGAGGCTCCCCCTGCTGTGGAGGAGGTGGTGGTACAGTCTGAGCCAGAGGTCCAGGTGCCAGTGCCAGTTCCAGAGAAGGAAGTGTCAACACAGCCCTCACCCCCCTTACAAGAGCAAGTCCAACCCCCCTGCCCAGACCCAGCCTCTGCTGACAACATCCCACCAACAGAAGAAGCTCAGGCCATGCCCATTGCAGAGACAGATGACACAGAGAAGTGAGTGTGGGCACTTCTTATCCCCCACAGAGGACGTTTAATCTGCACAAATGTGTTATAATAAGAAGCAAAGGTTTGGTGCATTGAGGGTGTCATAATTTTTGCTTGGATGGGGAGAGCAAAGAAATTGAAATAGTGGGGAATTTGGTGTATGCCGTTTAAAGTCTAGCATGAAATCCAATATTAATAATATTTGGCCTGGGGCTTTTTTGCATCATGACAAAAGCCGTCAGACTGCATTATTTGTTAGACTGGCTGCAACACAGCTGGAGATGAAAGCTCACACAATCATCAGTGTGGATTTCACAGTTTCCCAAGTCATGCTCCTGCAGGCATCTTTGTCAGTCTTTATGGCATCTTTGTCACTCTGATAGCTTTAGTCACTCGTGTATGCATTTATCCAGCACTCCACAGTCCACAAAAAGATTGCACACAAAAAAAAATCTCTTGTGTTTCCTCAGTTACTTTTAAAAGTACAATTTTGAAGTGTCTTAGAGAGAACCACTTTTCAGTCTCATCTCTGGTATGTGTGCCCACTTATTTGCCTGTGTGTAGTTGTAGTTAGCCTGTTATATTTTTGAGTTTGTTGTTTTGGTTGTAGCAGTGTGACAACCATCCTGTATTGTGTGTTTTATGTGCAGGGTACAGGAGCAGTTCCAGGGCAATCCTGATAGTTACAATGGAGCAGTGAGACAGAACTACACCTGGTCACAGGACTACACTGATGTGGAGGTCAAAGTGCACGTTCCCAGCACCATTCGCAAGGGCAAGCAGGTAGGCTAAATAAAAGAGGCAGACGCAGGTAAAACCTAAAATCAAGGGACATTTCAGTACTCAAGAGAGAGAGGAGTACACTGACAGAAGTATTAGGGTTTATAGGGGTACACTGAAAGAGATGGCAGTATGTCACTCAGAAGAAGAGGTGGAGGAAAGGAGAAGTAATGAGACAATAAAAAGAAAGAGAGGCACACAGAGATGCAGGTAGTTCTGGATTTATTTACTGTTTTTAACATAATTATTAATGAGGTAGCCATGTTGCTGGAACAGTATGCTGACTGAACGTTTTTCAGGACACCAAAACAGAATACCCTTTTTACGCCAATGACATAATCCTGCTGTTGCTCGCTAAAACCACTGCTAGATCAGTGCTGTCAGAATTGGACTGGACTGTACCATAATGCCTAATTTCATCCCTCTGTTACCACCTAAAACCTTTTACCAAGTAGGTATTTTGAGCAAATTAATAATGAATGTTTTCATGAAAGCATAGGAATGATAAAACAGAAAATCCTTAACAAATAAGAAATACAATTTTAATTTTATTATAACAATTCTTTTGAAGAATATTTTTTTTTCAGACATAGGACTGAAGTTCTTGAATGTTGAGTAAGTGGATGGTACAGGCAGAAACCATGGAGTAAGTTCTAGAGGTACCCAGGGTTAAACTTCCTGCAGTGGATACAGAATCCTTGTCTGCCTGACCCAGCGATCATGAACCTGATGACGATTTCTTGATTCTTGTAATCACGCTTCACAGTATTGCCTGCCAGCCAGGCTTGATCATATACCCCAGAGTACTTTCCAGATGGATACTGCTGAATCATATTTGGAGCCCCTACTGTCATGGATTAATGTCCCTGTAAAGTCTGAGAATTTGTGGAACATCCTCAGCTTGCAGTGAAAAGAAGGTTTGATGATGAAAGTGAAAGAATACTTTAACAATTAGCAACCAGAAAGGTTAGATGGGTTGAATGTTTGTGATCTTGTGTTCTTATGCTTGTTTTAAATCTTTTTAGGAACCCATTTTTGACGATAGGAGCAACTACGATATTGGAGGTCAACAGTAACTTGGTAGCAGAATCAGTATCACAAATTTAACACATTTTTAAAAGAGGAATTTAACACATTTTTATAATTTTAGTTTTGACGATTTGTTTAGTCACATTTTACATTTTTTCTCAGTCTAAGCTCATTGTGCAAAACTGTATGTGGTTTGTGTTACACGTACTTTGTTTGTCTGGAGGCCACAAATTACCAAATTTCCTCCCACATTCCAAAGACATACTGATTAGGTTAATTGGCTTCTGGGAAAATTGACGCTGGTGTGTGTGTGTGTGTGTGTGTCCTGCAGTAGACTGGCTTCCAATCCAGAGTGTATCCTACCTTGCACCCATTTCTTGCCAGGATAGAATTTTAGCTTCCCCGTGACCCTATATGAGAAAAAGTGATTAGAAAATGGATAGAAAAACATGAGTGAGCTCCTATCCAGTAAAAACAGTAAGATTATTTTTGATACTGACTGAGGTTCAAACATTCATGTCTTGTTTGATTTTGGTTGCTTCTATGTCAGTTACTTCTGACAACAGGGCAAAGGGGACTTTGATGTCTGAGCCCTATACAGAAAAAGTTAATATTTAACATTTCACCACAGTTCTTACAGTGTTGTCTTCCTGAAACGGTTGACACACATCCTTTGTCTTTATTTCCTCCTATCTCCACATTTCTCCTGGGGCCAGGTGTCAGTGAATCTACAGCCAAACAGCCTGCGTGTTTCTGTGATGGAGATGGGTGTGGAGACGGTGCTGATGGAAGGAACTCTCACTCACAAGATCAACACGGAGAATTCACTATGGAGCCTGGAGCCTGGGAGCTGTGTGCTGGTAAGATGGACACTTCATCATAGTACAGTGCACAGTCTTGAAACTCACTGTAACTCCTGTAGTTCATTCAAACGCTGCAGTTTGCTGGAACACCCTGTAACACAGAGACATAGATGGTCTCCTGCCCTGTGACACTTTCCTTACTTTTTCTCTTCCTGCCCCAGCATTCAAGTCCGATAGATACTTGGCACTGCTCTTTCTTCTCTCTTTCTCTCTCCTTCACTCCCTTCACTCCTCCCTCTAGTCCAAAGGGAAGACCTACTGTATTCAGTAAGTGCAGTGAACATTGCTGTAGCTCCCTCTCACTCTTATCAATCTCTCTCTCCAGCTGTCTCTCAGCAAATGTGGAGAGTACTGGTGGTCAGCAGTGCTGCAAGGAGAGGAGGAGATTGATGTGAACCAGATTAACCGTGAGCGCTCTATGGCCACCGTGGATGAGGAAGAGCACGCCGTCCTCGACCGTCTCACCTTTGACTACCATCAGAAGCTGCAGGGCAAGCCACAGAGCCACGAGATGGTGCGTACTCTGCTGTTGTTCACGCCTCGTGTCTGCAGGCTTACTTGCATTCCTTGTGGCCAAGAGCCCACGTGCAATCTGAGTTGTTGTGACCTGTTGTGTTAAAATGTAATTCCTTCAGACACATCCATGTATCCATTCTTTCATCATCATTATTCACAGCAAAATGTGGGAAGGTTTGGAGGATAATGGGAAATTGAGAATGTGGCAAGAAGACTGACGTCACAACTACTTAGAACGCACACAGATATCTGTCCACTTGAAGGATTCACTTGTATTCATCCCAGTTTGCCCTAAAATAGTGATGTAGTGATCCACACTCCACAGGCACGTTTTGTGTAAAGATGTGCTTTTTATTGTGATTACCACAGTTTTAATAGACAATGGAATTGATTTACCCCTGTAGTGGTTTGTCAGGATTATAAAGAAAAAAAACAATCGCCTTATGTGTCATTACTGACATACTGGCAGTTTATTTAGAATATTTATATTTATACAGTCATTGTCTTGCAGGGACATAATCAGGGAAGACATGTGGAAATGAAGAAGAGTTAGGGCTTAGCTCTTTTCACAGAGAGCTGGAGGTTTTTGAAACACGTTTCCAGCAGTTGAAAATTAACTCTCTTATGAAATTGCTCTGTTTTCTGTAGCACACTAATCTTTGTACTAGTTCACCTCAGGTCTGCATCATTCACATGACCAGGTAGCTACATACAAGAGCGAATTAATTCTCCTCTGATTACATGTGTGAGTGAGTGCATTAATGGTGCCGGGTTTGTATCCAGCTCTATCCAGTTTTTGGCACAAGAGTGACTCCTTGTGACTCCTGCACATGAACTGCAGGCAGCTGTGAGAGACATGACTTCTCAAGTTGTCACCAGTTCTCCTGTAAATTGCTGTTGAATCTGACTTGTCAAACCTTGGTGGACCAGTAGGTCTTCCCTTTGGACTAGACTTTCCAAAACAGTTTTCCAGTGTGGTCAACACTGGGCTGCAGGAAGTGCCATCGTTCTGATCACATAGACCAAAGTCTTGACCAGTTGGTCATTAAAGATCCTGTGGTATTTTACAAAAGAGTTGGGCTATTAGTATCTCAATATCTTGGGTAAATTCCACTCTGGGCAGTCTGGCTTCCTTGAAATCAAGTTGTTTGCTTCTTCCCATGATAAGCTCTGTAGTGGGGCCGCTGGAGCAGATTGACTGCCCTGTGTCACCTCTGTAGGAGTGGTGGAGGAACTAGGTCCATTCTTGTACATAAGGTGCTTCAGGGTCCTTTCATTAGGAAAAGATAAACGCATTAACTTATACTTATAAAATCATGAATGCATCTGCAGGTTCTTATTTCAAAAGAGTGTATCTACATGTCTGTGTTCCGACGCACCTCTCTATTCACATTGTGATGCTCATTGTGTGTTTTTCAGAAGGTGCACGAGATGCTTAAGAAGGGCTGGGATGCTGAGGGCTCCCCATTCAAAGGACAGAAGTTTGACCCCTCCATGTTTGAGATCCCTCCCAGCGCCGTGCAGTTCTGACACCAGCCACCGGGGGAGCACCAGGGGGAAGTGTGCCACACTGAACTCAAGTCACCACACACTGGCATGACTCTCAAGGAGTATGCATATGTACTCAAATTCAGGAGAGCACTCATCGGCTGTCTGCATGGTACTGCACAACAAAAAGTCTCTAAAAGATTTGCAGTTTACTACAAAACTCTTTTTTTTTTAAAAAAAGTCAAAACATTGAGGTTTGCAGAATTGACCGAAGGCTAGGGTTAAATGTTCTTTATTTTACAGCAAAGTAACAAATGACAAAGGCGCAATGACATTGAATGACAATTTTAAACAAGGCAGAGGTACAGCCAATGCAATATTGCTTAAAAATGGACCTCATGGAACCTCATCAGTTGAACAAGGACCCATAACCATGTGCGATTTAGCTCTTCTTCAACTGATGTGTATGTACAGTTGTCCTTCAGAGCAGTCACCCCTTGTTCCTTCAACAAAACCTGGCATTCTACTTCCCTGTTTCTTTTTCCTTTTCCCCAAAGTCCAATTTACCATTGTGATGGTTCTGAACTGTTCTTCTTCACACGCATCCAAAGAACTGTGTGACAGGCAGGGGGGGATTATGCTTGCTGGGGTCTGGAGCCGTGTCGCTTTCTGGGGAGGGGGATCTCCAAATTGAGTTCCTTGCCTTTTGCTGTATAACAACCAATCTCAGTCTGGGATTTTAAATATTACCAACTGTAAAGCTGAATCAAAATTAAAATGAACAAAAATACTTTTTTTCTGCACGTTATTGTTAATAACATTATGGATTTTATTTGTATACATTTTTTAAGTGCCACATTAACACTTTTTTTTTACCAAAAGTTGAAATATCTTCATCTTTCATAAAGCAGTATATTTTAATAAATTTAGCCACAGTGAACTTACATAATAGTTAAGCTAATCAAGGGTTTCATTCTTGCCAAAGAATTGCAAAAACAGTAGATTTCTTTCTATTCTACATTTTCAGTGATGCCGATTGAATCAACCTGGCGATGCAAGCCACTCTGTTAACACCAAAGTCAAATTCTTTTTATGCTTTGCTAATCCACAGTTGATTTTGATAAAACACGGAGTCACCTTTGATCAAAGCCGTATTTGAAACCTAACATCCATATCCATCATTTGTTACTGTCTACTTAACTAGAATATTTGCAAAGCTGTATCTGCATTTGGAACCGAAAAGTAGCTATTCTTGCTGACTATTTGTTATACAATGTCCCCATATCGGACTTGAGTGCGTACATTTCTATATGCTTTGTGCCAATGTGTCAATCATAAATTTGAAAACCATCAAATGATTTTCTTTCATCTCACTTTTTCACACTTTTCACATGCAAATCAAATCTTCTGATGTACTGTACTTTTTTATTTGCTTTGCTTTCCTTTTCACTTTATAATTATTGAGGATAGATGTTGTAGATGTTGCTGCAGATTCATGCTGTGAAATGAAGTTTGTAGCCCTGCCAAAAAAAAAAACCCTTAGTAAGTTCACCAGTTGAAAACTTGCACAGAAAAGCATTTTGTTTTGTCAATTGGAGGATCAACAAGCATTGAGCATCTCTGATCTGCATGATGAGCAAATTAAGAAGTGCCTGAAGAAATACTTAATGCTTCCAAGAAGCGCTATATGTTTCTAATGTGAACTAAATTGAGGAATACAACTGAATCACTCTCTCTCACTGAATGTGTGTAAGCCATTATGTTCAAGTTCTCCTAAATGCATTGTCGTCACTCTGACCTCTGCAGTTTGACATTTCAGGGCTCATCTTATACAAAACCTCCAGCAACAGAATGTAAAAAGTAATTCCCCCGTACAGTAGGACCTGTTGTTTTATGTTCGGCCATGAAGGGCTTAAACAGCTATAATTCAATTCCAACTATTTAATTTCTCTCTAAAAGAAAGACCGTGCTTTGCTAGAAACTTGACAACAGCAACGATTCGCTTAAGCAGATTTCTTCCCATGCATGCACTCGTTTTCAAGCTGTTCTGTCAGATCGCAGTCTGCTTGGCTTCTGGCTTGTGCCCAGGAAACCCAAGGAAGCATTGCGTTTTGTGAGTCACGCTACGTTTGTGCTCTTCAGTACAAACCCTTAACATGTTTCCAGGCGCTGCACCCTGAATCACTCGGCGCTGGTGGACAAGATTTGTCCCCAGATAATCGGTGCACAGAAAAGAATACCAAATCTTTGTCTCTGTTCTTTCTCTCATGACTCAGCCGTTGTTCTGTACTCAGGTTCTGCAAGTTAATCTGCAACACTCTTTATGAAGCTCTTTCAGAAGCCTGTCTAATGCATACTAGTAACACTCCTCTATCATTGAGGCTGCATCTCAGTCTTACCTTTTGCTCTTTATGTCCTGGGGACCATGTTGTGGTCTCGAAAGAATAAGTAATAGGTTTATTCCATGCTGAAAAGAGGTGTCAGGTTTCAACGCCGAAATGCTGTTTTCTTTCTTCTCTTTTCAGCATGGAATAAACCTATTACTTGTTCCTTTGCAGCCTACGCATGCTGATGCAGCTACCCACCTGAACTACTTAATGTTCTGTACTCTCTCACTTCTCCTGGTCTAAAACCAACTCAGTCTCTGTGACTCCCTGCCTGGCTCTCTAAAACTATCTCAGCCAGTAGGCATTCCATCCCTTTGATAAATTTGAGTGAATTTCATAATTAGTTGGAAAGAAGAGTGGAGAAAAATAGGATTACGTCTTCGTGAAAAATGTACTCATATTAATAAAGTGGAGCAGGTTGTTAGCGTTTGTATCGCAACACTGATGCAGTCGTGACACAATGACACCACCAGAGGTCGCTATTGGCAACGACTTTGCTTAGAACCCTTATTCACCCCCTTTCTTTTAGATAGATACTTTATTGATCCCGTGAGGGAAATTGCAGTGCAACAGCAGCTTGACACACACAACACAGCCACAGTGTAACGAATTATATACTAATAGTACAATACATACAATACAATACAAGAGTTACTCACAGTCCGGACACACGAGAGGAAACCAGAACAGAACAGTACACAGAAAATCGTATCACACGTATGAATATAAATATAGATGTAGAATAGATAAATATACATGATATAAATATAAATATAAATGTATTGCACAGGTCCCTGGCATGTATTGCACAAAAGTGGTTGTAAACGGGAAAAAGAAAAAGAAAGAGAACAGATGTAGCAGTAGATGTGTATATGCATTTAGTCCAGAAACAGGTCACTGTCGCTGTTGCCTCTGCCAAGACGCAAGGTGGATGCGTTGTACAGTCTTATGGCAGACGGCAAGAATGACCTCCTGTAGCGCTCCCTGTCGCACCGTGGATGAATCAGTCTATTGCTGAACGTGCTCTTCATTCCTGCAAGCCTGTCATAGAGGGGATGGGAGAAGTTGTCCATGATGGCCTCCAGTTTGGACATCATTCTCCTCTCAGCCACTACCTCCAAGGGGTCCAGGTCAGACCCTTTTTAATTTCAAATTCTTATTTTTTTAAACACCTGCTTTCCCAATTTGGAATTGCACCTCTACTGTTTGAATGACACGAGTCCATAACAAAATGTTATATTATTTTTTTATTGTGTGTGTATTGCATGATGTGCACTGAGTATCATATTAGAGGTGGTCTGTAACTTCTGTACCAGGAACGGTACATACCCTGGTTTAAATTTACAGTCTGAGGCTGAAGACTTGTTAATCTTGAACACAGAAAGCTAGAAAGGTGCCTTCTTCAGAATCAGCAGTGAAGCAGGAATCAGACAACGTTGTATGGTATATATGATGTCGTGTATTTAGTTCACTTCAGTTTTTTTGTCATATGCACAAGCACCATGAATTTATTATTTGCGTGTACACTCCAATACAAAGACATTAAGGAAACACCAAACAGAAACACAGAACAGCAGCAACAACAACAAAGTTAAATAACATACGTCTTAAATACAAGTCAGCACAAGCCGTGTACAAAAAGACATCGGTGCGAGTGAGTCGGTGATGGAGGCATTTTGTTCTTTCAAATTGACAGTAGGAGACGCGTTTTTACAGTAAGAGTCGTTGGAGCCTGGAATGAGCCCCCCAGCTGTGTTGTTAAAGTCGATCCATCACTGCTTCTCAAGAAGAAGTGGCTGGATGAGATCCTCGGACCCTTCGTCCACAAGCGATCAATCGATCCTCCTCTCGTTTGGAACCTTTCTTGAGTCCTCTCCCTTTCCCTCCCTTTTATTGTTGTTACTCGCGCTCCCATCCCCTCTTTCTCCCTCTCCTTTCCTCTCCCCGTCCTTTCCACCCCCTTCTCTCTCTCCCTCCACCCTCTCTTTTCTGGTTCTCTTTGCTGGCTGATGCTCGGAGCTCTACGCTAATGAGGCTGCCTGCCGGCTTTGAAATTAGACTCAGGTTGGGCCTAAGCTGTGGGAGGTGTGGGAGGTGGACATTGGTGAGGGGGCTTTAAATCAGGTTGATGTCTTAGGAATACAAGAATGGTTACAAATGAAAAAGGAACTCCCCCCTCCTCCAGTCCAAACTTCACTGCAGCCCACTTTCCCCACTAGAAATCTACAGGAGGGCCGTATGATGGGAGTAGTGGTTATTATTGCTGCCTCGCAATCCTGGGTTCATTTCTGGACCGGGGGTGCTGTCTGACGATGATGATAGATACTTTATTGATCCCGTGAGGGAAATTGCAGTGCAACAGCAGCTTAACACAGACGACACAGCCACAGTGTAACGAATTATATAATAATAGTACAATACATACAATACAATACAAGAGTTACTCACAGTCCGGACACACAAAGAACAAACTAGAACAGAACAGTACACAGAAAAATCGTATCACACATATGAATATAAATATAGATGTAAATATAGATATAGATATAAATGTATTGCACAGGTCCCTGGCATATATTGCACAAAAAACGGTTGTAAACGGGAAAAAGAAAAAGAAGAGAAAGAGAACAGATGTAGCAGTAGATGTATTCAGTCCAGAAACAGGTCACTGTCGCTGTTGCCTCTGCCCAGACGCAAGGTGGATGCGTTGTACAGTCTTATGGCAGACGGCAAGAATGACCTCCTGTAGCGCTCCCTGTCGCACCGTGGATGAATCAGTCTATTGCTGAACGTGCTCTTCATTCCTGCAAGCCTGTCATAGAGGGGATGGGAGAAGTTGTCCATGATGGCCTCTACTTTGGACATCATTCTCCTCTCAGCCACTACCTCCGAGGGGTCCAGGTCAGACCCAATGACAGAGCTTGCTCTCCAGATGAGCTTGTTCAGCCTTTTAGAATGTGTGGAGTTTGTATGTTCTCCCCGTGTTGGCCTGGGTTTCCTCCCACAATGCAAAGGCCTACTGGTAGGTTAAATGGCTTCTGGGAATTCTGGGAAAATTGGCCCTGTTGTGAGTGTGTGTGTGTGTGCCCTGCGAAGGACTGGTGTCCCATCCAGGGTGTACCCTGCCTTGCGCCTGTTGCTGGTCAGGATAATCTTCAGCTCCCCCTTGACCCTGGTTTGGAGGAAATGGTTAGAGAACGGAGGGATTCTACAGCATCAGACCCTGCATATTGCATCAGACTGATAGGGTCAGCTGTGGATGTTCCGATGTCAGATCCGTTTGGCGACTGGTCTTTCTCATGTCGGCAGAGACATTATTTTCGCGTTGCAGGGTTCGGCAGACAAATTTTTATTCCTTGTCACATGAGTAGGCCCCTGCCGAGCCAGTACGGTTTCCCATTCTCTTAAACGGATTGAGTAGAAAATATATATTTTTTAAAAAACTACGTTTGTCTTCATTTATATCTACATAAAACAGAAAAAATAACCAGTCTTTCGCGTTTAGATCCAATACGCTCTTGGCTTTGTTATTCTTTTGTCAGTCGTGATCGTTTTGCCCTACAGGTGAGAACTGCCCCGCGGTAGCGAAAATTCCCTGTTCTCCAAACCTTTATTAACTTATTCAGTCTTTCGGCTGTTCAGTTGGTGAAAACGCTCGAAGTGACATATTTTCATTTGTGGATTTGGGGTTTCTGATACACAGCGACAGGGAGAGAGCGCAGAACTTGGCTCTGCGCTCTTAAGCGGGGGCCAGGCTTCTCCTTCCCAATAAACATTAATAAGAACGCGGGGATGTCTGAGACCCCCAGGCGAGAGCTTCTATCTGGAGAATAATCGTCCCTCGACTCGGGCTCGTTAATCTCCGTGACAGAAAGAAGACGGAAACGTTTTAAATTGCCGATTAAAAAAACGGTTAGAGCTGAAGAGTCCTGTGTGTGTGTGTGTGAGTGTGCTACAGGGATTTTCTTAGTTCGGTTTTCGGTCTAAGACATACAACTCCGAAGATATCTTTAAAGGCACGTCAAGAGTGATATTTTAGAAAATGTTTAGACTTTTGTCTTCTTCACACAACGGTCACCTCCCGTGGTGACCTTCTCCAACTTTACAGAAATGTTAGAAAACGCATCTTGCAGGAGAATAATATTGGTACAAAGGGAACGATGTTTGATCTTAAGGAAAAGCGATTTGATTGTTTTAGGAAATATCAATATCATGCTATATGTCAGACGTATACATTTCGATTTTGATATACGCATATAAATAAATAGGCTTATTTGTCTAAGTCTTTAGAACAAGAATGGGATTCCTTGAAAATTAGGCCCCGAGATGAAATATTTTGTTCAGTACAGCGGGCTGCAAATTCCTGCCCACGCACGCAGTTGCACGGAGCGCCCGACAGGGGGAGATAGCGAGGCGTTTTGGAGTAAATACGGCTTTGACAGCAGCAGAGCGCATAGCAATTGAGCAGAGGGAGAGGAGAGAGGAGAGCGGTAGAGGCAGCCAGCGCTAGCAAACCTCTCCTTAAGTGGGCTACAACGGATCCCACAGCCGCAAAACCAGAGGAGGCGCACAGATAGAAACAGTAAAAAAAGTTATTTATCCTTAAAGTAGAAGACAGCGTTCACGAAACAGAACAAACCCGCGGCAAGACGAAGACATGGCTACGACAACCTGTACACGATTTACGGACGAATACCAGCTGTATGAAGAGCTCGGAAAGTAAGCTTTTTGTAACCCTCTGTCCCATTATTATCATTGCCGTCGGTTGTATTGCTGTTGTTGTTCTTGTGACGCTTAGTATTATCCGTACGTGACTCGTGGATAATGTGTATGTGTGTGTGTGTGCGCGTTTGTGTCGGGGGCCAGCTGTAGCCGTAACCGTTCTCAAAATAAACCTGCACACACACACACGCACGCACACAAGCGCCTGCTTTTCCAGAAAACAAACCCACCGTGCCGAGCAGGCTTCCCAAAAAGAGGTCGTGAAGAGACGCCTTTGTCCCCCAGCATTAGCTGTATCCGCCCCCAACCCCCCTCGGACCGCTGCACCAGAGTGGACGGCACCTAGTGACATTTTGAGCTGTCAGATATGCTCCGCGGCTGTTTGGTGTCTGTAAAATGTGTCTGTGTTAGCATGCCTGCGCCCTGACGTTAGAGGTGTATTTTTTAACTCCCTTCCCTCGCTACCCCTCCTCCTCCTCCTCCTCTGCCGTTTGCATCGCGGGGTTTGCCCCGTATTCCGCCGAATACTTCAATAATCTCGGCGCTCCTCAACGCCTGTTAAATATTCATCGCGCAATAAAGAAAGGCAAATGCACAACGCAGCTTTGATTTACCGCGGTGGGCTCGTTTAATGTCACGAAGAGCCGGGCTGGTGATGTGGATATAGTTAGGAGCTAGCGTCATGCTACGCTACATTAGAAATGGGGGGAGAGAAAACTGCTATAGCTACATTGTACCGTAAGAGGGGAGAAGAGGAGGAGGCGGACAGACAAAACGGCTCGTTTTGAGGGTTTTATTTTTTGACGATGATGGAGTGGAGGCAGCGGGGTCGACCCTCCCGAGCACGTATCTTCCCCTCCTCACCCGACGAGCAAATGAATAATTCAGTCAACATGCCTGACGTATTTCACGGCTGAACACTCCAGCAGCACGGGGGCTGCGTTATTTTATTTTATTTTTTTTTGTTCTCTCTCCAAAATCCCCGTCGCCGAATCCTGCTGGGAATGTAACATCTCCCCGGAGAAGTTTTGCTTAAAATCCCGTTGATCTAAGAGCGCGAGTGGGCGAGTGACGATGGACTGTCGTTGTGATAGCTAGGACTTTTTTTTTTTTTGCTGCTGCACCGAAAGGGCTCGGATATAAACATAAGCCGCAAACACCACCACGCAGTCGGACTCCCCTCCTCCCCCTTTTTCAACTTAGTGCTGTAGCGGCCGCAAGGTCTTCAGCAATTGAAAAACAAAATTAAGCGGTAACAGAGTATCTCTGGATATTACGCCGAGCCCACAAGAACTCTTGATTTCCTGATGAGCTCTCCTTTCGCTTTGTCAGGTTTTTTAAACCCCTAGATCTTTTTTTTTTACTACTGTACTACTGCACATTTCTTTACCGCCAAGATCCTCCTCTTTTTAACGCGTTGTCATGTTTTCTTAATTAATTACGCGCGTACGTAAAAAAAAAATGACTTCCCCCACACCATACCAATCGTTAGTGCCAGACTTTCATGTTTGTTCAAAATAACGTTTCTGAACGGTTACCAGGTGATATGAGGTTATAGACCCATGACAAAACGTGAGGGCGTTAGTTTTGAGAAATGAGCTGTACAAAGGAGCTGCGTGCGTTTTCTTTCTTTATCAAACCCGAAAGTGTTCCTGGCCATTAAAATGAGAATTTTACCTTCCAATTAAAGCTGTTTTTTTTTTAATTACTCTCATTGCAGTTATTGACATTGACTGAATAGGGAGAGATAGGGGGGTTGTAAGGCACTTTCACCAAGAGCGGTTTGCGTTTGCACAAACTCTGCTTTTTTTTGCACAATCTGTGTAAAGCACGCTTTTATATTTAGAAATTCCGAGTCTGAACCTTGAGGTCGTTGTAAAGGAGAGGGACAGTGTTGATTTGAAGCTCGTTCTGTTTTATTTTGAAGCTCATTTTTTTTGCCTCCCAGCAGGCCCGGGGTTTTTCAGGTCTTGTGCAGCCCCGCACACTCCCTCGCCCCATCCCCTATGAAAATATTTGGGCTAAACGTGCTTTCTTCCTTGGCCTGGGACAGAGATTCTGCATCTCCTGGCATTCGCCGGGCTGTGGATGGGCGCTTCTAGCTCCTACATAGTTATTGGCTTACATTTATTATTATGAATGTACCCTTTATTAAGTATTGCTGTTTTTGCTGCAGTTACAAACTATTGGGTTATATTATGATGCCCTGACAAACGACCCGTTTCACTCAATAAAACAGAGCCTCTTCATCTCACGGCTTTCGGGCCTGTAATTGTTTTCCCCTTATTTTTCACAACATTCCCGTTCTGTATGAAAAGATACGATAACACAAGTGTTTCAGGGGAGGCGTCTTCTCGCCAGAAGCCCCTGGCGGATTCCGGCTCGGCGTGGTGTTGGCTGTTGCGAGCGGTGACTTCCTTTAACCCAGCGCCGAGACGCGACAGGCTGAGCGCCCCGTGAGCCGACCTGCGCCGGGTGTCTTTGGAAATTCTGAATGACTCCGTCTTCCTGTCCTATGGAAAACACACGTTGTATATCATTGTATACGCAGCACCTAACACCGGGTTGGAAAAACTGCGCTCAGCGCACTTGCATTTGAATTGTTCACACGTGGTTTCAGCCGTGATGTGCGACAGAGTGATTTTTTTTTCTTCTGAGCGTCACAGGCAGCGATGCATTCATAATTGAGGGCGATATAGCCAACCACGCGGGTTCGAACTATGGAAAAAAAATCTTCCTTCAAAGTCTGCGAGAGAAAAAGTGAAAATCCTGCTTGTATAGATGTTAATTCATTTAGTGGTTCTAATATTTATTTTAATGGGATTCCCGCTATTCCTGTTGTCTGGCGCTGTGCTAAGGTGCCAGTCGCCTTAATTTAATTCAAAGCATGTCCTAATGTTCATCCAGACTTGTATAAGATTCTGCGTGTGATTTAGCATTATTGGTTCCTATAATTATTTTGTGTGTTGCACAAGCAGTTAGTCTTAGATCTCCTGAGCGATGTGTGCGATATGGATTGTCAAAGCGTCGGCTCAGGAGATTTCTCTTTTATGTCTGCAGATCTGTGTTAGAATTTGTGTGTCGCTGTTTGTGTGGGTGTTGGGGCGCAGTCAGCTTGTGTGTGGCTTTGTCATTTTGCAGCTGTAGCTGTCAGGTACGATCTTATGTTTTTTTTTTTAGATTCAGATCTAATTTTCCTGTGAATCTCATGCAGCCATTAATCGACATAATTGAATAACTTTGCACGCGGGGTCCGTTGGCCGAGCTCAGGGTTTTTGTGTATGCAGACCTTCCAGTCTGCTCTTTCTCCCACAGCAGTTCGAAGTATTTCAGCAATGTCCGGGACAGACGGGTGTCTGGGGCGGATTGTGTGGTTCTCTCCCAGTCCTTCCTTGACAGTCAAAGTGCTGTACATCACTTTAATATCTCTTCAGAGGCAGACGCGGTGCGCTAATGAAAAGCACTTCGTTAACGCATTGATTGCATGTAACTGCAGACAGAGCTGGGCAGCAGAGAATGCTCCTTCTGTAACTTATATCTCTCTGTCTCAAAAGCAACCTATAAAACATCTGCATTTCTGAGCCCGTGTTTCCTCACTGCTGTGAGTCCTGTTCTGTTGATTTTGTAGCATTTGCTGTCCTGACACTACACTCATTATTACTTGAGGTTTAACTGCTTACAGCAGGACAGAAGATTGAGAAATCCTGTCACCCCAGAGGCTGAGGAGCAAAAGGTTGAGCCACTATTCTTCACAATCGCCTGTGCTAACCACTTTAATCCAGTTCAGGTATTTAAGGGCTGTAGGTTCTCTTGCTTAGTACATTATTTTGAATACGTTTGCGGACCGAAACGCAATGTAGAAATAGTTTCAGCTTCTCTGCTTTACAGTGCGATTTCTGCAGGCGCCTGTAGCTCTTTCAACCTGACCCTGACCTCAGTGTTACAGTATGTCATAGGAGTCATGATTTCCATTTCTCAGTTTGCCCAGGGTCAGAGGAGGAGGCTTGATGCTAATTTGTGCTCTTTCTGACACATACTTCTTGGGAAATCTTAATTTAATTCAAAGAGTCAGAAATGGAAAAAAAAGTAAGGCTTTGCTTAGAATAATTAAGCTGCAAGAAAACTGACTCCAAGCTATGAAGATGGGAGAGAGCTTCAAAATACACAAAGAATTAAATCCAATGCACTAAAAATAAAACCTGAAACCACTGCCCTTTGAATCTGTTAGAAATAAAGAAGAAAAATATCAAAAGAGAAAAATCAATGCACAAGACTTTCATCTAACATGCAAAATTGATTATCCAGTTCATAGAAACAAAGATTTTTTTTTAAAAATTCACTTTGTTTATTAAAGTGTGGCATAAAGCCTTCTGTAAAAGACATGTGTTGAATGACAAGCGCTGTTTCAGAGGTAAAGCTCGACTGAACTGCCTGCAGGCGGCTTGTCTCAGGGAGGTCGATGGCCAGGACACCAGCCTGACGTACAGAGCTCGCCCCTGGATGGGCTCATCCGCTGCCGTCCCGCCTCTCTCTGTTTTTTGTCAGTGATCCGACGGATTTTTCACAGCGTCTGTCTCCGTGAGTCGTGAGGTCCACACTGGCGCTGCTCCTCTGGTGGTGGAGGTTGGACTGGCTGTGAATTTACCCAGCTCTGCCGTCCGTGCCGATCGGACCCCCAGCTGCGGCGGGTCCGAGCGCTTGGGACGGGTAGAGCAGGCTGGGGCAAGGGCTTGCAGAGGCCAACTATGACCCCCCCTCTGTCCTGCACTCGTGGCTCGCATTACACATTACACTATCAGCTGATGTAGCATAGTGTGACACTGGGGACCGTCTTAGCAGACAAACTGTATATTGTATTACAAAAACAAGGCAAGCTAAAGTGAGCACCTTGCATGCAGTAGTCCAGGAGCACAATATTGGATGACATGTCATAAAGACTTATGGCGCTGATGAAGCAAATTGGTCAATGAACAAGATTGGAGGCAGCTGCCATGTAGCTCTTGATAACATTGAACCCGATTTTACTTGTCTGACCAGGAAGGTTAACTGATACAGTGCTGTACTGTAGTGAAGGTCTTGGTTTTTCTTCACCTTTTCGTCATCTGAGAAACGGCGGTTTTTAAACTAGTATCTAAATGCAAGGGTTACTTTGCTTTATTTTTTAACTGTATCTCGTCCCGCTATTTGCAGCACTCCTTGTCTTTTGTGTGATTTTCATTTGCTGTTTCCACTCTGATTGTAGCGGGACATTTTTTTTTCCCCAACAGCTTGGTTTGCAAACATTTTAAAATTTGGTCAGCCGGACTTCTGCTGGGAAAACTACCGTGTTGCTCAGAGACCTATAATTCCACTCCAAGCCTGTTAGAACTTTGATTACCCCTCTTTTCTTGCACTGTAGGTCCACCATGCTATAGGACTGTGTCCCAATCCTTTGGATAGTTTTAATACCTAGTGCTCACTGACGTCCCTTCTTGAAGACTATAAGCCAAATACCAAGGATATTGCTGGTCTGGAATTAGTCCAAAGAAGAGCAAGCAGACACACTCCAGGGTTTAAGGCAGGGGTTCCCAGTTCTGGTCCTGGAGACCACCACTCTTATCGGTTGATGTTTCCAAGGGTTGTCAGTTCCATCATCGAATCTGTAAATTGATTTCTACACCAGGATTCATCTGAACTGTGTGGCTGTTTTCAGATTTAAAAACCTGCTGGAGATGGTCTTTTAACTATTGCATTTCCTACTTAAAATCAAACACCAGACTCCCAAGTTGAAAGAAAAATGTTGCAGTCAAGCAGCTTATTCATTCAGTGAATTGAGTTAAGTTATTGTAGGTAATGATGCTCAGCTGGGATGAAAACCAGCAGGTGTGGAGCAGGGCCTCTCCTACCCGGACAGGCTGAAGGACCTGAGCCTTTGTAGTTTTGCAGAGAAGACTATCAGGAGATTCAAGTATTCCCAATCCTCAAAGGCACTGACAGAGTCAACCCGGTGGACCTCTTCAGTATCAGCAGTGAACCTCAAACCAATGGACACCAGTGGAAAGGACATGGAAGTGCATTTAAAACTGAGAACAGGAGGAACTTCTTTATGTTTATGCCAAGGTCTGTGGGAGTCATGCCATGTTGCTGAATTGGCTTTCACTGGTGAAACAATGGCATGAGATCCTTGGCTGAATTTGTTTCTAATTATCCGTCAGTGGCCTCCGCTGTTTGTACCCTTTCTTAAGTTCTTATGATTATTTCTGGGTATGGATCAGCTGACATGTTAGTTGTGAATGTTTACCTTAGAGCAGAATTACCAGGAGTCCCTTACTATGAGGTAACGCAATTTAAATGGAATAAATAATTAACAGTGGGAATGTGTCCAACCGAAGGGCTTCAGGGCTGCTAAAACAGACTTTTTTTTTCTCCAGCATGATGCTATGATTTTGTTTCCTCAGATAAATCCCTTTTGTATTTTTCATTAGCTGATTTTGGTGGAAAAGTTCATTAGCATTGCATGTTACGTTTTCAGTCAATAAATATCCATCCATTGTGTAGCCCACTTTATCCAATACAGGGTCCCAGGGGGACCTGGAGTGTAACTGGAGTGCAATGGGGCGCAAGGCAGGATACACCCTGGATGGGACGCCAGTCCCTCACAGAGCATATACAGACACAAACACACTCACACCAGGGCTAATTTCCCAGAAGCCAATTAACGCACTTGTATGTCTGTGGGCCGTGGGAGGGAACTGGAGCACCTGATGGCAACGCACAAGGACATTCCAAGCAGGCGAGAACATGGGGACGACATACAAGCTCCATGCAGCTGACACCCTGAGAATTGAACACAGGGCACCAGCGCTGCAAGACAGCAGTGCTAACCACTGCTCCACCATGCCACCTGTTGATGAATATGTTAGGAGTGTATGATAAAGGAACTCGAAATGCTGTCACTTTTGTGACATGTAGTTAAATTAACTACTTCTCTGTGGTTAAGATAACATGAATGCAGGATTTACTATGACTTATTAGGTTGCGAAAGTTAAGACTGAATGGACTAAATGGTGTATTTTTCTGTCTTTATTTCCCAGGGGGGCTTTTTCAGTGGTGCGCCGATGTGTCAAGCTGTGCACAGGCCAAGAGTACGCAGCCAAAATCATCAACACCAAAAAACTTTCTGCAAGAGGTAGGCAACGCCACAGGCCCACGGCCGGCAGCCAGAGAGCCGACTCGGGGTAATAGGATGACCTTTCCGGAGCATGAAGAGAGCCGTTTCATTCTGATTCATGTGTACTTCTTTCACTTGCTGCAAGACGCTATAACAGACATGTCGTATCAGAGAATTGTGATTCTGTGGAGGGGACTGCAGAGAATGATGCTGACGTGTTTCTCTCTGTTTCGCTTCCATCAGTCCAGAGGTTAATATTCCCTGCTTGCAGTGTAGTATTTCCACTGGTGTGTCAGTCACAGGGAAGGAATAGCTGAATTTCTGCCTTTTAGCTTTTTTCATTGTTCGGTGTGTTGAATTATCCATTATTTTAATATATGCATGAAAAAAATACTGGTTGCATTATGTCCAGAATTTCATATTTGGCTTTGGTGAGGGTGAGTGTATTATTTAGAACATTGCTTTAAAGGTGCAAGAAATTTGCATGAAAGGCTTTCGCTATGCTCCGTGGGTCTGAATTCATAGTCAAAGGCCAGAAGACCTACTGTAGCTCTAGCCATGTTCGTGCTTTGGCCTAGTTGAACATGGAATGTCACTCTGTTTGCGACCGGTGACGGTGTGTGTGTCTGGGTGCAAGCCTCCAGCTTCTAAATGCAGACCAGGAACTTGGCAACAGCAGGAAAGAGCATCTGTGAATCTGCGTGCCACAAGCATGGGACTGATCATGTGACTGAGACAAGGCGCTGCTGAGAGGATATCGTACAGAGGCTTCATGGCGCTTTGTGCGCAGTGCTCAAGTCATGAGGAAGCAGGTTTTTTTTTTCTAGTGTCTCAAAAGTTTTTGGTGTGCTTCTGTCAACTGCTATTTTTAGCTTAAATCTGGGACTACGTCATCCTTAAACTTACAGACACCATGCTGAGCTTGGCTTTTATTCTGTTCTTTTTATAAAATGCAACTTGAGTTCAAAGGATAAATAGAATGGGGATGTTTGATTGCCTCACCAGTTTTGCTGAACACTTGAGCTGGATTCAGGGTAAATTGCTTTATGTTGAGAAAACAGAAGAGAACTCTCTGGAGATCACACACAAGGCGCTGGAGAGGCCTTAGATGGTGGCCTGATTCAATCATGGTAGCTACATCTGAGAATTGCTGACCTAGAATGCACACATTTTGGGTTTTTTTTTCTAGGAAATGTGCAAAATATTTCATTTTGGAGTCTTTGCAATAGGTGAGCTTGACTTAGTATCTCTTAGTATAGTACAGTAGAACTGAGGATGAAGCTTGATGTTACGGATATTTCTGGGTGTTTAAATAAAAAAAAATGTTTCATTACGTATTCGTACTCTAGCAAAATCAATGGATTTAATTTTTAATGAAGTGTTTTGAAAATGTTCTCACTGGTATAGTTATTTTTAGAGTTTTTAATAGATTTTTTTACGTGCTGACATATTTTTAGGTATTATGCAAGCGGCAGCGAAAAAAAACTGAGTTTGGAGAGTGTTCTTACATTTGAAAAGATAATGACAGTGTGAAACGGTTCCTCACTGCAGCCCGGAAGTTAAGCAGTTAATCGCAACCGCATCGAGTGGAAACTGGAGCAAAGTGTTAGGGGGCGGGAGCAGACATGGGGATGGGCGTGGTTTCTCTCAGTACAGCGAGCCAATGATATATACGATCTGCAGAAAAGGGGCAGTGCAGTAGGCGGGCCTCTAGGTGGGAATCCCTAGTAGCCAATGAGCACACGGAGGAAGCCTTTGGCAAACGACAGTGATTGGTCAACGCGCATGCTCTGCAGTACCTGCAATGCAGTAGCAATGTGACCTGAATTTACCCGCACCGCTAGCGGTACCTCAAATGTACAGTACCTTGTCAGTAGTGGCACGGAAAGAGAGAGTCGTATAACGTTTTATTGCGGCTTTAAAATTACATCCGAACTAGAAGGCAGATGGATTTTTATACGCCTTTTATTCTGGTATGTAGATAATTCACGGATTCAATGAGTAACCAAACCTACTAAGTAACTCGTTAGTAGTCAAAAAGTTTGTTTCGTCGCCGCCCTTTGAGTAAAGAAAATTAAAAAGTTTTAATTGGTAGCTCTCTATTAGTCAATAGGATAAATTCGAATTTGAAGTGAACAATTGTTGTACCCCCAGTAGATCAGGTAATAGATAATCTGTCTCACCTAAAGGATCTCCTGATCAAAACAAATCAAGCCGTTAACTCCAGGCACGGCAGTTAGGGTCTGGTGACCCGAACACACCCGCAGAACATGCTGAATTGTTCTCAGTAAGAAGCGGATTGTGTTAATGAAAGTGCTCAGAACTCGCCCCGCATGAACCCTGCCCGAACACCTTTTCTTTTCCGTGTTTACCCCTCCTGAGACCTGAACCCACGCTTTTTCAGCTGTATGGCAGAGCCCTGCGGCTCCACGCTGTGAAAACGTTTGGAGCCTATGCAGCTCGGATCCCCTTCCCCCGTCTTGATCAGCTCCCACGTTTTCTAAGGGAGTCTCCTGATGTGAAAACCCAGGCATTTTCTGTCAGTGCACCCCCGCTGTAGTCAGTATGGGTGCAGGATCCAGTCCCTGCCTGTGAAAACTGTCCCAGCTTTGTGTCTGTGTCCATTTGGCTGCTGAACTCGAATGACATCTTAATAGATGCCTTACGTTCTATTCTTCCCCAAAGGAAAAAAAGGAGATGCTTAGATTTACGGATATGTCTCCTCACCTCCTTCATCCTTCTCCATCAGTTCTTCCCCAGGAGCCTCCTCTTTTTTCACCAGCTCCCTTATAATCAACTCACCTCTTTAAGAACAGTGTTGGGAAATGTTATAAATACATATTTAACACACACACCGTTGACCTTGGTTTTTAATGTACCCAGCGACACCAGTGAAGTTCCTTTGTGGGGAAAAAGAAAGTTCGTACCGTATACAGCCAAGCCGACTGCTCCTGCTTGGATGCCTTTTCAAAAAGATTTCCCCAGTGCTTCCGAGTGCCCATGCCTCAGTGAGGTCTGGCCTCCGAATGGGGTTCCAAGTGCGGCATGCCACTCATTTACTCCCCCTGCAGTGATCCCCCTTTGAGTCTGAAGCAGTGTTTTTGTTCAGAGGAATTGTCGAAGCCAGATCTGGGAGTGGGAAAAGCAGGTCGGCACCATTAATCACTGGGCACGCTACTCGTACCCGCTGCAGAAGACAGAACAGCCAGGGCTGCCAGCCCGTAAGGGTTAACACTGTGCTGCTGCAGAGGAAGAGCCTGCGCTGTTCCGCCTTCCCTGTCTTCAGGGATGTTTGCATTAGGATGGCTTTCAGCTGAGCGCAGCCCGGGGGTGGGGATCAAGGAGCCCCAAAAGCAGCTCCCTCCCGGTCTCCTTCTCCTCCTTCGGGATTGGCGCAGGGAGAGGGGGTGGGGTGGGGGGAACGGAGGAGACAGCGGAGGAATGGGGGAGGCGTGAGGAGGGCAGAGACGGAGCTCCCGGATTTACAGACTGAGGAAAGACTGCGCACAGGCAAAGTCTGCCTGCTATGAGTGCAGTACGCACAATTGTCTGCTCCCTCCCTGTTATTTTGCCTCTTTGTAGATATGGCTGTGTGCTAAAAGATCATCTATAGGTTTTTGTTTTTAAAGTTTTGGAGCAAAGGGCAAATGAGATACGCCGCCTCCAGGCATCCTAGAACATCTATGTTTGTGAACACAGAGGACGTCCAATTTGGTGTAGTTTTATAGTCGTGTACTATACTGCAGATTTGCATTTTTACATGTATGACTGGGTTATGAATTTCAAATCCCAAGCTTTTGCATTGTAATTCAAGAGACTTTATTGTAATGTAACAAGTATCCTTCAAACTACATTAGGACACTTTAACTATGCAAGATACTTTAAAAGTTCACTCATTGTTTTATGGTGCATGAGGAAGAAATCTTAAATAAGTGATCCCCAGTCTAGGTCATGAAGAGCTGCAGCACTGCTGGTGTTACAGGGGAAACTCACACTTTCAACACCCCAGTGACTAAACACTAATTAAGTAACCAAATAATTGATTCGATTAAGACATCAAGAGCTCAGGTAGACTAAAAACCAGAAGGCTGTACTCCTCTAGAGACTTGAGAGTGGAGGATAATGGCTGCAGTTGTAAAGAGTACAGGTTAAATGGTTATGCAACACAGAGATGCAACTAAAAGGTCTTCTTTATACCAGCTGTATGTCACCTTGTGTTTTCTTTTATTCTTAGTCTGTGGCATCTGAATAAAACTGATCAGTGCAATGAACTTTACCCCACCAGTCAATAATACTACAAGCAAGTACGATAATTGGGGTTTGCATTGGTTACACGCAAGAGGCACAGGTCAGCTGGGGCCCCTGTGCCCAGGTGAGCTGTGGCCCAGCAGGGCCCCTGTGCCCAGATGAGCAGCAGCCCAGTGAGACCCCTGTGCCCAGGTGAGCTGAGGCCCTGTGGGGCCCCTGTTCTCAGGTGAGCTGAGGCCCTGTGGGTCCCTGTGCCCGGGTGAGCTGAGGCCCTGTGGGTCCCTGTGCCCGGGTGAGCTGAGGCCCTGCGGGTCCCTGTGCCCAGGTGAGCTGAGGCCCTGCGGGTCCCTGTGCCCAGGTGAGCTGAGGCCCTGCGGGTCCCTGTGCCCGGGTGAGCTGAGGCCCCGTGGGGCCCCTGTGCCCAGGTGAGCTGAGGCCCTGTGGGGCCCCTGTGCCCGGGTGAGCTGAGGC